CCTGTTCGACCATAGGTCACAAAAATATATCTATGGATTTGACAATGGTATCATATTCTTTACTATTTCTTGAAAAATAAAATTTCAAATTAAGTGTAAAAACACTAAAAACCAATAACAATGTACATTTATTATGTACAAATTTCTCCCTCACCTCTCCTCCAAAGGTACGTTACTGATGTTATTTTATGACTATCTTTGCAAATACGATTTTCCGATAAGACAATAGTCAATTTTATTCCTTTTTCAAGATCATGAACATAATATCATATTTGAAATTATATGTTTTAATAAATTTAGATAGTTTTTGAGATAACATAAATTGTATTGCCCAAGGTCACTTGAAAAAATAAGACTTTGAATTTAGTGTCTCTAAAATAGATGTGGCAAATCAGAAAAATCAATTTTTATTTCACACGTACTTACCGAAATAGTTAAAAACGGAAATTTATCCTAAAGTGTGTGTTTCAGTACTCTCTATAACCTCCCGAAAACGAAATTCTAATCGGAGTTCATCCGACTGAAATATTTAGTTTTTAGTGGAAACGAAATCACACTGTATAATATGATTTATTTAAATGTATATTTGAACGGAGTATTCAAGTACTCGTATACAAAACAACATTATAATACATATGTAGAATATGGTGAACTGGAATAATAGAATAGATTTTCTATATCCGGTATAATATACAACACTCTTAAATAAAAGGTTAGGTTAGGTTAGGTTAGGTTTTAATTCTAGTAACTATGTCTGTATTTTGGGCCGTGGCCCGTATTAAAATAAAAACACTATACATGAACATATTTAAATTACACATAGACAGACGTTTATAAACATCTTTTGTCGTAAGTTTAGATCTATTTGGTCAGACTCTAAATATTTATTTTGCCTTGTAGGTGGTTAGACTTTTTTGAAAATAATATTATTAGGTTTTAGGTACTTGGTAGTCAATATCTATACCTATATACTAGACTATTTTTTATACAATATGTTTAAAATAAAGTAAGTATAAATTTATCAATTGCCAACGCGACTAATATTTTTTTTTAAAAATAATATGTCAAACGCCTAATTATGTCTTGTTTATTAAACAACATGCAAAAGCAATGTGAAATGGCTAAAATATTATGTATATAGTATACGTAATATAGTGGGTAGGTACGAACAAATTCTAAGTATATAAATACGAATACGAGGTAGGTATATCACATCAATATAATAATTAAAATTACAAGATTATTGTATTACTATCGTTGCTAACTAAATAATGATTATTATTATTTCTTTATTGTTTCTTGTATTTTAAAGAAAACAAATGATGATAATAATAAAAGACGAAATAAATGGTTGGCAATGGCGAAAAAAAGAGCTGATCAATGTGCTGATAGATGTGCCACTGTTATATGTGCGAAGTCGGGAAGGTAGAATATAATAAGAGTTAATTTATAACTGTACACAGCGATAAATAACTGCTAACAAAAATAATTCTGAGCAAAGTTCGATTGAATATAAGTTTTAAAATGGGTACCAGGATGTTTAAGATTCCCATACAAATTTGACCTTTAAACAATTATAAATAATAAAACAAAATATTAGATTACGCTCATCTTTCAATTTTTTGTTACTGCTATAATGCTACCTACTATTTTATTGAACTATTTTTTTTTTTTTTTGATCTAAATACATCGACATTTGAGTCATTAGTATATGGACATTCGAAATATTACATTTTTAACAATACATAGATATTTAAATTAAATTATATAATTCAGATTATTTTAGAAATAAAATTAAGTTACTTATATCAAGTGGGTTCGGTCCAAGCGCATGGCATATTTGTTCAGATATGTGGAATTGGTTGTGGAGTTGTTTTTTATATGCAGGGGCGCACCATAGGAGGTTAGAACCCTCCCCCCCTAAAATGTCTTACTTTGTTAAATTTTTTTATCAAGTTTTGTATTTGGCAGCATATCTTATACAACAGAATAAAATAATGAAATTTAATTTCATCAAAAATAATTTTATTCAGTGATAATAATACTGATAATATTATATGCTTGGTTTATCGCTTATCATATTACAGTTCAATAATGGACCGTAGTTCGTGATGATCATATTTTATTATCTATGTGGTTAACAGAATATAATCGATTTTAATTTACGGATTTATCTACATCGTGATTTACAGTTAACTGAAACCACGATAATGATTATTTTTATTTCTTATAATTATGATTCGTGACAAACACAGAAACGTCTCAATCACCGCTATAATATAATTATAATTTATAAGAGAGATGGTAATATTCTCTTATTTTTTCGGAAAAAGTGTTGTAAAAAGAAATAATGTAGAACCCTTAACTTTACATTTACTAGGTAATAATTCGTGATTTTAATTGTTGAATACCAGCGCTAGATGTAGGTATCTATAAAGTTTTCTTAGAATGTTTTGAATCGGTAGTACTTATTTCATTATAAATTTAGTGACATTTTGTAGAAGCTAAATGATGATAATACATTGCACGTTGATACTAAAGTCAATCAAGGTGAGAAGATGTCTGATGATATGTCTGAATGCCATGTTCAGGTAATCAGTGTAGATACTATTCGACAAATATTTTAAGTTTAACTTTATTTAAGTACCAACGATAAATGTAGGTGTATGAAAATAGTGTTAATAATAAATTAAGAAGTATAATGTATATAGATCATAATTTGTTTAATGTTATTTATTATCTATGTAAAAATATATTATTAAATGATTTACGATATTTGTACAAAATTCTTCTCTTTAGAAAATTATAAGCTCAATCCTTTCCCCCTCCGAAAAGAAATCCTGCTTGCGCCACTGGCTACATGTGTCACATAATAGGGGTTTATCTTTGCTCATAAAGAAACTGTGCGTTAGGTGTGTGTATCCAATTCGGAGTCTGTTAATTATGGTTTCGTCTTTTCTACTGAGCTCGGTTGAGTTTGGTATTATTTTTTATTTTGTTAAGTTTGGTTTTTTGATTTCTCCAGCGAGAGTGACATTAATTATTTATTTCGCTCTTTACGTCTGAATAAGTGGTGATATTTAAGGTTGAAGATGTTGTTGATACTATTACATTGAGAGCTTCTTGGTCAGCTTTCTTGTTACCAGGAACCCCTATGTATCCAGGAATCCAGATGAATTGAATTTATTTCCCTTTTCTCCCTGCTAAGCAAGTTTTTTCATGGATAAGCTTGGAGATATCGGTTGAATTTCTCATATTTGTATCTTACTATTATAATGTACCGTGTGTTAAATTGGCGAGCAATTTTGCTGGACCAAAACAAATTTTATCCATATAAAGCCAAATAAAAACTCGATAGTTACGGACGGCTAGAAAACCATAAAACTGGTAATATAATTTTACCTTGTCTAGGGACATATATAAATGTATTCGATGGAATTTTCAGATCTCTACTTACGATTTACTTAACCATAAATCATTTTAATATGGTCTTATCGACATATAGACCAGTTTATTAGACTAATTTTTCGAGAAAAATTGTAAATACCTACTCATATCAATATAGAATTCATAACCTTCAACTTAATTTTAAACTAGAAATATTCGTAATTTAAGTTTTAACTCCTTTCAATTATAATGTAGGATGTATATAGGCACCTAATAATGAAAATTAATGCCATCCGTTATGGTTCTGTATATACGAATGACGTATATTTCCGCCATTTGATTGATCTTTATAGTTATTACATAAATATTATACCTATTATAAAATATTCATTATAATTTGTGGGCTAGTTTTGAATTAAGATATTTATTACCGATTTTCTTTGTATCGTTAAATTGTTAATGTAAATACCAACTATATATATTGTATGTACATTGTATATACAAATTCGTCAAAATTAGAGAAAACTGTGATACAATAATTCTTTTCCTTTTCGTTGAAAATTGTGTTATCATTTTATTATTAAGTTTAGAAAAACAGTCAAATATTTAACATTGGTGTAACTACTACTATATTACTATATACTATAAATAAATAACAATCGAAAATACGAATATGTGATAAGAATCATTCTATTAAACCACCTCTATACAAAAACATTGTTTTAATATAATAGGTGTATATTGTTAGTAAAAACAATCGACTATTAATAAAAATCGTTTATATAATAATAATGAAACAATTATATTCATTATTCCGTCAGAGAACAAACTCAATACAACCAAAAATACCCTACATTGGAAACTTCAAGGAAAAAAAACCCTAGGAAGACTATGACTGACAAATCTGAAAAAGATTTGGAAAGCATATAAAAAAACAGCTAAAATATGGAATTGGTAGAGAAATGAAAGTTTGTGAATACTGCAGCGTTGGACCAATAATGGCCTATTAAGTTGAGAGAAGAAGAAGAAATAATAATATTCTTGATGCACGTACCATTTACCTTATATTATGACTATAATATATCACTTAAATGTATTGGTATACTCATATCTTTATAATCGATGTGTGTTTATATATTATAAAATAAAAATTGATAAATATGTCCAATTATTATACCTATGTAATAATAATTTAAATAATAATTATATAGGTAGTTACATGTATACCATACTGATGTATACATAAAATATAATTTAATTATTAACAGGACATCCGTGGACTTTTATATCCGTTAGATAAAAAAATTAAATTCTCTATGTTGAACCAAAATTCTCCACGGAATCAAATTGTCCCCGGGGATATTTAGAACTGTGCATGGGGACAAAACGGATGGAGGTCCCCGGAAACAATTTGATCAGGTTAAAGAGTTTAATTTTTTTTTAAACAGATCAAAAGGTCCCCATAAACAAAAACTTGATCGAAACGGATCTGGGTCAATTTATTAACACCCAAAATATCAACTCAATTATTAAATATTACAAAAAAAAAAATTATCATGATGTTATGTGTATTGTATAATATAGGATATTTCATTGGACAAAATGAAAAATAACAGCAAAGTACATTTTTATTTTAAATTATCACAAACAAATTGTATATAGGTAGGTACAGAAATCCTTAGCTTGGTTTTATTATACATATTGTTATGTTGGTTTATGTTAACTCCAAGTTATTTGAAATCTCTCACTTGCAGAAAGCTATGAATTTTACTATCAGGTTCGAATCTTCCATTGTTCCTCTACACATTGCAGTACTAAATAAAAAATTGAACACAAATAAATAATAATAATAATAATAAATATAAAATATATTTAAAAAATACAATAATTATAAAATATATTAGATGTATATTATGGTAAATACGATAATAATATAGTTGGTACCTATATAATATTATTGGTCATTACATGAACACGTTACATAAATATAGTTCATCTCGTATTATAATTAAATTAAATTACAATGTGATGTAGCTCAAAATTAGTACTGACGTATGCATTAAAACGATAATGGAATAGTTATCTAATTAAAATTTATTATTTTTCTACATTGTAAAAATTAAATTTTTTTTTTCAATTATATTATATTAGACTTATACAATATTAATGGAGGTTCAGTCAAAAAAAAAAAAAAACAACTTATATAATATACATTATGTTCAACATCAATAATATGTAGGTACCTACAGCATACTAGTATAAAAATTAATTAATTACGATAAAACCGTTCGTAGGTACAAATTAAAGTTTACAGAACGAGTCATTTACCACGTTTCCTATTCACTAATTAGTTCATAAATGAATCTTAATTAATCAGTTTATTAAATAGATACCTGCATTTGAAATCGGCATTTTTTGTATTTAGAAAATATACATATAGTTAATACAGAATGAATTCTTCAACGGGAGTTCTAATAACAGAATTTTGTCGATTTGTTTTTTCTACTTAAATGTATCATAGTCAAAAAATGTCAATGTGTGTTTCAGATTATGAAAGAAACGATAGGGATCCCTATTTCAGTATTAAACACCAATTTACACTTTCTGTGGGTATACACGAATTATATATTTTAAATTTTATGATTAGGTTTTGAAAAAATGGCATTATTGTTAAAAAATAAATCGTTGAAATATATAAAACCTATACGTTAACACAAATTTTGTATTAACCTACTACATAGACTTTTCAAACCATTAAATTAATCCCACGTGGTTTATTTATTAATTTTGAATTGTTTACAAGTTTACAATTTAATTTTAAAATTGGAGCTCATAGCAGTTCTCTTAAAACTGATAACAAAAAAAAAAAATTTATCAGATCAGATTTACTAACAATTAAACCTGAAATTCCTAGATCATTACCATAATGATAATTATATTTTATGCTACCATTTTTACATATTTGGATAATCATTGATGGTATAATACATTTTGATGAATGTAGGTAAACTTAGAAAATAAGTATTTTCAATAAACTGAATATAAGACTTTTATGCTTTTGAAATCAAAATTATTTATACAGAGTTCTCAGAATCAGGTTGTTTATAGGCATATAATAGGGCACACTATACAAGGACGCACACGAATTGCCTTCCACCTGATCCACGAATCGCCTCTCGGGAATTTTTTTTTTAAAAATGTTACTCGAATCGCTTCTCGATTTCAAAAATATCATTTACTCGAATTGTCTCCTATTTTAGGCAGTGGCCTTGTATTGAAATCGATTTCTATTTCGATTTTTTAAAACTAAAAAAAAATTATATATATGTATTAAGTATACGACCTTAGTGTCTTAATAATGAAATCGTGAAATTTTACGTTTTCCTACGTTTTTGCCCACTTATGTGCCTTAATTAAAAATGGCTCAAAAAATCAAAATATGACCTCTCTAAAGTACTATCTAGACAACTTGAGCTTTCAGAAAAATTGGTACGGGTAAAAACCGGAGAAATTTTACTAGGAAAAAATGTGTCCACGACTAGAAGGAAGAAAAAAAATAAACATCTTAGTAAAACAAATTGTTCACTCGCTACGCTCGGAATCCAAAATAATTAGACGGTCAATTAATTTACTAATCAGTTATCGATACGATTATTGCATTTCACAAATAACCTGTCTGGGAAACGCTATATTTATAAATTATTATAAGTCATAAAAATAATATTTTTGAACATTATGGAAATCAATATAAATAGTCCATTATATACGTCAACTATCGATTTATTAATTAATAATCTAGGTATGCTATGAGAGGCAATTCGAGTGAAAAAAGGTCTTCTACCTGAATTCGAGAGTACCCTTATATATCATGTTTATAGTGCCTAAGTATAGGTAGCCAGATATGTGTCTACAATAATAACGATATTAAGTTATTAATTTATTTACTTAATATATTTATGAACCGGAACACTAAAATTCTAATTTTAACATTAATTGCAGGAACAAGGACTATAAATACTTAAATTAAAATTAAATTTTTATATTTTGTTAGAAAAATAATTTCAAGTTCAGAGAAATTATTGAACTCGTGTCGCTGATAAAGCAAATAAATACATTTTAGCACAGGATGATACACAAACTAATATTAAATTATAATTTGGAATAATTTACATTTTGTTCGGTTGGTATGAGATATTATTTATTTGTTTTTACTTATCATTTTTAAGAGAACTGCTTTTGGCCCTTAAAATTTTGAGAATAAATAAACTTACTTTAAAACACAAACAAATATTTGTAAATAATATATTATAGTATATAACATTGCATCTAAGTTAAGGCCAAAACCAGTTCTCTTAAAAATGATAAGAAAAAAAAAATAATATCTTATTATACCAACCAAAAAAAATGTAACCTATTCCAAATAATAATCTAATATCAATTTGTGTATCCAATCTGTACCACGAACTATGATATACAGGACTGGAAAGAGCTAAAATGTTATTTTTCACCAAAACATAAAAATTGAATTCAAATTTAAATATTTGTAGTCCTTATTCCAGAAATCAATGTTAAATCAGAATTTTGGAGTTTCCGTTCATAAAAATATTAATTATAAAATTATAATTATATTATATATTATTATTATTATATTATATTATTAAAATTAATTATATTAATATCGTTATTATTGTAGGTACCCATCTATACAACCCAATTCTGAGAACTCTTGTCTGTCGACTCTCAGTATCTAATAATTTTGATTTTAAAGGCATGTCTTATATTCAGTTTATTTATAGTTTTTCTCGTAATTTTCTTAGTTCACTTACATTTACAAAAATGTATTATACATAAAAATGTTAGCATGCAATATAATCATCATTATGGTAATGGTCTAGGGGATTTTAGGTTTAAGTGTTGGTCAATCTGGTCTGATAAAATGTATTATTTTGTTATCAGTTTTAAGAGAACTTGTTATGAGCTCTCTATGCTAAGCTTTTTTTTTTTTTATTAAAAAAATTCCAAAAAAGAAATTAAACATAAAAAAAAAATCACGTTGCATCACCATCATAAATTTAACTCAGAGAAATTGCCTTCTTGGCAATGATCTTTTTATATTTTTTACATTATAATTGTATGAGTGATTTTTGAGTATGATCATGATAACACACAAATAGAGGAATCGAGTGGATATAAGTGACGGCATGCGTATATACTATTCAGCTCTCAGCAAACGTATCTATCTCAGAATTTCCAAACTTGTTAAGGAAAACCTGGTTCAAAAATCACATTAGGTTAACATAAATTACAATAAAATACTCTAGTAATACTTATACTATGTAGTAAATCTTTGGAAAAACAATGAAGCCAAAACTTTCGTTATGGCTTGTAAACAAAATTCTTTCTCAAATTAAGGTGGTCCGCGACATTTCGAGTGGTCCGCACTGTGAAAAAAGTTTGGAAACACTGCGCTAAACAAATGTGTAAATGACAATTAAAAAATAGATAGGTATTATTATACGTGTGGGCATTGTAGCTGAATATTTCGAATATTATAAATATCACGGTATTATATTATTCACAGGGTTATAACAGTCGATTACATAAAAAAAGAAAATGGAAATAAAAAAAAAGGAAAATTACGGAGAGAAATAATAATATAAGTAAAAAAAAAAAAAATTGACTTACGTCTTTAGTCTTATTTTTCCTGGGACCAAAGATAATAAAAGAGGTAAAATACGCGAAATGGTTACATCTATTATAGTTCTGTAGCTCCGCTATACCGAATCTAAAACCGATTAAGGCCGGTTTAATTTCGTGAAATTACTTTCGGAACACTATTACACACTTCGTGTTACATTAAAGGTACAAATTATATTAGTCTCTTTTTTTTTTTTTCTATAAATTTTCTCTCAAATTCTAATAACGTATGTAATTCAAACGGAAGCCAGCAGGAATGAGTGCCGTTTAATAAAGTCAATATAATAGTTTGTAGCCCGTATATGTGGCTCCCCCACCCCGTGCGTATTTAGACAGCTTGTTCATTTATTATTATGTTTTTCGACGCATGTGTTCGCTCTACATGTATAGCAGCCATCACAAGAGTTAGACGACAGTGTGTATACTCTCTATTTCCAGTGTACTTTTCTTGTATTGTTTTTTATTTATTTATTATTATTATTATTTTTTTTTTTTTATGTCTACCAATTGAGAAGTCCTATAAAATGCTGGTATTTTATTTAAATTGCCGATTAGTATACTATATACGAGTGCCTATATGCTGTGACATTATATAAAGGGGTGCTTAATAATGACAATAAGGACCATCAATTTAGTATGCAGTGTACCTAGAAAAAATAAAAAGAAAAAAACTACAGTAGTTGTCCCGCACGGCTTTGTCCATGAACACCACTATTGGACGAAACAAATTTTAAAATATATAAAAACGTATTTCCTGGCGACTTCCCGTTTACACACCGTTCCTATCACAGTTAGCCGTTGCACGGTAATTTTTTAATTTGTTTAAAAGTGCAGTGTACTTTTTTGTCCGCCACAGCCTCAAATTAACCAACAATAACTGTTTTTTTTTTTTTTTTTTTTGTCATCCGTGTTGTCAAAAGTAACCCAATACAAATCAACAAAAGTATTTCGATTTTCTCGTTCCAAAAATACTAAAAACCCTGCGTCAGCCAAATGTACTGAATTTCGAGATAAAAAGTATCCTATGTGTTAACCCAGAACATATTCTGTGTGCCAAATTTCATCATAACTCGTTCGGCCGCTTTGACGTGACCCGACTCCCAAACGTCCAAAGTTTCGCGCATTTATTTAACAATATTAATAGTATGATAAAATATAGGTATGTGTACAACTACAATAAATCGTGTGTTCGGTGATTAATTTTATTTTAAAATTAGTATAATATACAGTTAATTGTTGTATGAAGATTTAAATTCATTAATATTCAACAGTTGTACCAACTTTAAAATTAAATACCATTGTACGTACTATGTTTGTTGATAAACATTTTATGAAACGCACATTTAAACCTATGAACATAATTACTAATTAAATTTTTTTTAAAATTAGTAATTTTTAATTTTTAATAGTAATTTGTTTAAAATTACTTATGGCTTACATTGTTCGCAATATAATATTATACTATCGATAACTCGAAGCCCAGAAGAGAATGAGAATTTATTTTCCATCAAGTTATCGAGGATTCTGATTTAGCATTTACTTGTAAGTTATTGAAATTCGTACATCGATTTCATAAAAATTAAAAACTATATATTATGTATACAATAACTTATTTTAGATTTTATTTTATTAGAGAGCCAGGAATATTAGAACGCTATCGTTGAATATACTTCGATATTTATTTGAAAAAAACGTGCAGATAAATTTTAAAGAAACAGTGTTTGGCTAAACATTAAATAGGTTAAGCAGATGCAATATGATCAAATTTCGGATACCGATACTTTAAAAATGTGCGCTAATATAACTTATTGGACTAGCGTAGCTTAAACGCAAAAAAATAAAATATTGTATAGGTTTCATTTTGACGGTAGATAATGTTTAAGATGTCAGCACGCGATACACTGAACCGGTGTTGTTTAGCTACATAAATTTACGGAAACATGAAAAAATACGAATAGAGGTAAAACGATAATATCACTAGACTCGAAACGAACCGCGATGCCGACGACGCTATCTCGTGATTTACACCAATGTCTATATCGCACGGTGGTAATCGCCGTCGTTTCAACGGATCAACATTGTATTTGTTTTTCGTCATGTTTATGTTGATTTTTCCCATTCGAATTTCAAATTATAAAACGACCATAATAAGTCTATGCATCGATAAGAAATACACGCGCAAACGAACATACAGGGCGATTATAAATTCATGTTCAAAAAATACAGTAAGGTCGCCGGGATCACATAACATACACGGTTTTCATGCAAACCCCCCCACCCCCCTACCGACGACAACACAATATTATAATGTCTGATCATCCTGTATGCATTATAATATATCCAGGTACGTGTCTACGTCAAACTTCTGTACTATTTATTATTCATTATTCCGTTCGGTTTGGGTTTTGAGGAGCCACATCGACATTTCACGCGGTATATTACAATGTGCGTACGCGTGTATAGATCAGTCGTACGGTGTACAAAATAATACTATGAAACCGGCCGTACGTCAATAATACACTGGGTTCAAAATCAACTCGGAAATCGACTCCGGTCGATATGTATAGAAAATATACCCGTGGCGTCCGGTGTAGCCGTAATACGTTGATCAGCCGGAGAAAATCGTGAAAAAAAACAACGCCGCTGCGCCGGTTTAAGGGATATTAATAAACGATATTTCGTTTGAACGAATGGAGATAAATAGGAAGAAACGAAAAATAACGGGCGTTGGACGACTCGCGCAGCAAGCAAGCACAGAAATAAAAATGAATTGTTTAAACAGTCACTGCGCACGAACGCAATTCGGTTATTTTACGGGCGATTAATAATACGTCGGGATATTATTTTTATTATATTGTAATAATTCGCCGCGTTGAGTTTGGTTACATTATTTGACGATACGTCAAATCCGTCTGGCCAGGAGGTATTTCAAAGTCATTCATAAATCTCTCGATGCCACTAAATATTATCTGGCTCGCACATGTTTCCAGAGGCGGCCGCCTCTCGATTTTAGCCCACCACACTGCTACCATAATAATATTACTCTGTGCACATCGTACAAAACATTCCGTGGCATAATAATTCCGTGCCGGGACATTTTCACCGACACTGATAGTAATAATATTGTAACGTACGTCTGCATACCGCCGCGTGAAAACATTCGTTAACGCGATACGCATGCCTGCGTAATACATCGGTAATATATTAGCGTAGAGAAATAAAAAAAAAAAAATTGAAAAAATTCAATCGGAAAACGGATTTAATAAAACGAAAGAAAAAGTGAATGTCAAGCCAAATGTCATTTAGAAAACTCGTCGGTCGAACCGTATCGAAACGCGCGCCGCGGCCAAGTCATAACCGCGCACAAATCGAACGCCGTCATACACGCCAGAACGGACATAATATTATTGTGCAATCAACGCAGACGATTTACCTGCGGTCTATTATTCGTTTTGATTACGCATCCCGACAGGTTTATATTCAGCGTTATCGATAAGGTTTCAGACATTAAAACCCCGCCCGCGTCGCAGAAAATATCGATTTTAAAATTAATCGTCGTCCCGTTATCATTTGCACGGGGCATTCGACCGGGCTCTCGGTTCGACAAACAGCCCAATTCGCGACGATGACCCAATAATATTCGTTGATATTTGACGCATTCGCGGGGCGTTACGGACAAATTCCGTTCGCATGCGAAACACGACTAAAAATGTTCCAATTTTACGTACGACGAAGTTTTATAATACGTTACGCGCCCGCCGTATCGTATACGTCGACATCACGAATTGAAATCCGACGGGCCCAACACGAATCCAAACGTGCGCAACGCGGCCATTTCACGGAATTTTCAGAAACGATACAACCGGCCCGCGTTTCACGTGTGTTGGTTTAGCAGTCACGCGAACGCGTGAAAAACAACGCGAGAACACAGACTACGCGCGTACGCAACGTGTAAAACGTGCGCACGGATTTTCCGAGCACACGGCATCATAGATTCGAATGTCAATTTCACGTGAACACGTGAAATGGGGAGCCCCCCACTACCCCCCCCCCGGCGCATACGATATACTAGTACGAGCACGGAGTTTTTTTTTTTTTTCCCCGTCAGTATTATTATGAAATTATAATAATCACGAAAATTTAATACAATACAATACAATATAATGCGACTATTAAAAACCCAACCGTTCGTTCAATTGTAACGAAGATAAAACGTATACCATAATATTATAATATTTTCGATAACGCGTTTTTGTATTATTATTATTACTATTATTAACACGCTGCCGTTAATTATAATAATACATACATTTATGTATAATACGCATAATAGTCGAATTCTCAATCGTATATGTATACGGAATAATTAATTATGTAACATATATATTATCTACTTTTTATAAATACGCTCAAGAAAATATTTAACGTAGTTAAATAAATGATAATTATGATAATAGTCATTTTTTTTTTTTTTTGCTGCAATTTTCTTCACAAAGAAAAACATTGTAATATTGTCAAGATTCCACAATTGAAAAATGCCATTTCGTTGCGATTAGCTATCGGCGGCGTTTAAACGGTTATTCGACGGACTGTTGTTACACGCCAACACAATACCTACCGTCGGTTATGATGAAGTTTGAACGAAACTGGTGCGAGTAGTACCCATACAAATCTCGCTTTTGTATCAATTTGTTTTGTTTCCGTGTCGTGTGCGCGGACTTGTGAAAACACATAAAAAAAAAAAAAAAATCAAATCATAATAATATCGATAAATAACTGCTCGCGATTAGGCGAATTCCGTGTTGGAATACACGGACCGTTTTAGGTTATAATTACAATATCATTGTAAAGCGCGCGCGCGCGTGCGCACACAACCGCGGCAATCGTTACGCATTGTCATAATAATATACAGTGTGCGCACACAAATCGTATACGAATTAACGGTGCGTATAATAAATTATAAACAGGTACATACAATAATAACGAAATAAATACCGTACCCGGTTGTCAGTAAAAAAATCAAAAACAAAATAAACAAATTACCTATACCTACTTTCCGGACACAATTGGCGCCGCCGATGACGGGAGTTCTCGAAGATTTATGGGTATCTGAGGACATCATTACCTGACAGTATTAGACATACAAATAATCATTCTAATCCTGCCCAAGTAAGACGTTAACAGATCCAAATGATTACGACGACGGCGGCGGCAGGCTACAGTGGCGCGACACACGCTATGCCGGTTAAAATGTACAATGTTATAATGCAACATAGATTTGTAAAAACACACGACATAACAATTGTTCGCATTTTATAGTACGTCAATAAGTGTTTACAAATTACCGTTGGATTACAAGTATAGGAGGTACGTCGTATATTATACTATTGGTGTTAAAAAAAAAAAAAAAAAAAAAAAAAAAAAAAAATCGATTAGTTACAAAAATAAATAGGCAATACGTTTACAGTTACGTATAGCTTAACATTACATAACAGGTATTTACGAAAAATATTTTAATATAAAAAAAAAAAAAAAAAACGTACAAAAATTCCATATTACAACAATAGGATTGTTTTAAACATTGATCGTACATTAACGCNTAGGAGGTACGTCGTATATTATACTATTGGTGTTAAAAAAAAAAAAAAAAAAAAAAAAAAAAAAACGTACAAAAATTCCATATTACAACAATAGGATTGTTTTAAACATTGATCGTACATTAACGCGGCGTTATCGAGGGGGAAAAAAAAGAAATAGCTATTATGAAAATTTGAATATCGTGTACACATATAATATAATAATAAATAATAATAATAATAATAATAAATAATAATACAGAGTGTCGATGCGAAACGCGAGACTACGTATGAAAAATTAAACGTGCCTACAATAAAATAAAGGGGCGTGGAGGGAGGGGAAACGAAAAACAAAAGTAAATACGATCGGGATTGATACGACAAAATCCACGAGCGAGTAGGTGAGAGAACACGGCACACTAACCTGTACGCCGAACTGCGGTCGTGAACCGAATGGCGGTCCGGATAACGGCGCCGGTACCTTAAATACCCTTAACGCGACGCGTCCGCGGCCGGCCGACGAGGGACGCCGCCCGCGGTGTGCCGGCGCGCGTACGTGTAAAACGGGAAAAATACCAAAGGTCACGTTCCGAGCGCCGCGGCCCGACGACGACGCGCGACTGGACCGCCGTCCCGATTCCAAAAACTAAAAACAACATATTATTTTTACGATAACGCAGAATTAATAATGTAATACGGGTAAAACAATAACGTAATGTTATTAAAATCCCGAGAGAATATCGTAGAAAATACGATTGAAACGAACTGGTACGAACCGCGCGGTCGCGGCGGACCGGAGAGAGAGAGAGAGAGTGAGAGAGTGAGTGAGAGAGCGAGAGAGTGACGGAGAGAGGGAGAGCAGCTGACGGTTCGGCTTATCGCGCCGGCGGATAACTGACGCGTTGCGGACGTCGGCTCTCCCATATAAATAACGTGGAATAAAATATTTCATTATTATTATATATCGGGTGCGCGCAAAGGTCGACGGGCGGCCGCCACCGCTCCTCCTCCTTCCTCATCATCATCCGACGCGCACAGCGGCGTATCCGACATTGGCCGCCGCCGATAACGCGGGGCCGCGACGAGCGAACCACGCGATCTTTAGCCTTTCGGACCCGGGGCAAACATCGGTCGTCCTCTTATCTCTAGAGGAAAAAAAAAAAAATTAAATATAATACGTGCATCACAAAATAAAATACGACGATGGCGGCGATATTACAGCCGCGTGTATTGTGTACTACGATTTGACGCGGACGTCGTCGTCGCCGTTATTTAAATCAATAGGAAAACACCGTCGCCGCGCGAGAAAACCCCGTAAGCACACCGCGGCGCGCGCGTAACAAATCATATTTTTTTCCACGTTAATAAATTACAATATTTTTACGCGGCACTTCGGTCGTCGCCGTCGTCGACTGATGCCTTCTCGTCGTTAGCACCGACGGCACAAATATTATTGTCGTTCGGCCGCGTTACGAGGCGCACGCGAGATTGTCGCCGCCACCCGCGTTCAGGGGTCCCAAACATCGTCCACAGCAGCGGTTCTTGAACTTTCGGCGCGCACGGACCCACCCCCCCCCCACGAAAGACTTTCAGAAATCGCGGAACCCCTACCGGATACTTTTATTTGTTTTCTACAAAACATCTCGCGTTATCGTAATCAATATTTGCCGATAGAGCCGCCGCGGACAAGTCCGGGGGAGGGGAGGGGAGAGGGCGAACCACGGTTTAAGAACCGCCGGTCTAAATTGTCGCGTTTTTTTCTTTAACTCTGTACGTTCGCGCGACGGAATCTCGACCGCGTATCGATTACCGGGTAAGGCTTACCCGGCGAAACCGCGAAATCCAATACATAAATACTATCGTCTGTATCGATATGAATCTGATATCGTCTATGCGTCGGCCGAAAACAATAATAATCGCGGGGGACGCACCACACGTAATTCAAACGAAAAACAATAACGGCGAATAATAATATTATTTGTTAATACCGAACGTTGTAAAATCTCCCAGTTTTTTTCCGGGGAACACAGCCCGCCGCCGCCGTTTCGCAATGGCCGTACCACCTAGGCGTTTCTTACGGGGGATTGGGGGGGGGGGGGAGAGAGCGCGAAATTTCGGGGAACAGAAGATTCCGAGAAATCAGGACCTTTTATAATATTGTAAAATAAGAACATAAGCATAAGCGATCCCGGCACATTTATTGCAAAATAAAACTAGTTACGAAACTAGAGAAATCGGCGATAAGAGACAACGGTCGAACCGCCAAAACGAAATGATAACACCCGAAACCTTGATCCGCGGTTCGACCACAGATAAGAAAAATATCCTAAAATAATATCTATGGCTTTATTAAGTACTCCATGAAAAATATAAAACTATAATTTCAAAATAATTGTAAAAACAAATAACAATGCACACGACTACAATGTACGACTGGGGGGAATGGGAGGGGGAGAGGCGTTGTCCCCTTCACCCTCCCACCCGAAGGTACGCCACCGCCGCACAGAGATTACATTGATTTATAATAATATATAAGTAGGTAGGTACATTGTATTCATAAACTTGTACATTCACCCCGAGGACCGGGAGGCGTGGTCGGTCCGAACGGATCAAGGGTGACGGGCCGATCTGAAGAGTAAGCTAGTGAGAGAGATCGAATTTGCACTCCGAGGACGGCCAACAAAGACGCTCCGTTTATCATACAGCACTGTCCTCGAAACGAAACTCCGCCCACCGGAACGCGTTTCCGTGCCGAACGTTCCCGCCGTCGGTCTACGATTAAAATGCGATTTTACCCGGGGATACCTGCAGTTTTACCAGATGAAATCCGTGATCCGTCCGTTTTCCGGTCACACGTCCGAACGCACCCGCGCGCGGTGTCGGAGGATTTCAAGGGCGGCGGTCACATCACTCCCTTCCCCGCCGTCGGCCGGGTCAGGTTCGTGTTCAAAAACGATCCGGCACGAAAATCTGCTCGAACGCGAGCGACGCACGAATCGGGCGCGTAACAGGACAGACAGATAGGGGAGAAAAAATAATAATAAAATAATACGCGCGTAACGGTATTATTTGTGTGTATTGGGACGATTGTAGCACGGCCGTGTCGCGTGAAGCCGGGGAGGGCGACGCGGAGAGTGCACTACTACGCGGTGATGAATCGCGCGATACACGTAACAACAACGACGACGACGACGACGATGATAGAAATAAAAACGATAATAATAATAATAATAGATTGCGATAGAAGTTTAGCGATTTTGTTTAATTCGACGGCCGAGCCGGAGCTTTCTCGGAATACGGTGTCGCACCGCGAGCGCAACGACGCGCAGTCGGGTCTTCCGGGAAATATTATTATTGATATTATCGAGCGGTTCGAATTCGACATAATGACATTATCGCCATCGCCGTTATCGTCGCGGACGCGAAACATTACGGGGCATTACGTAACACGGGCGACGTCCGAAACCGCGGTAATAAACACGCACGGCACCGTCGCGTTCTCCGGTCGCCCCGGCAAACGGAAATAATTGTATTGCCGCCGTTTATTATTGGGCATTTCGACTGGACAACACCGGCGTGTTTTTTTTTCGCGCGGCCTCGCGTTCGTCGACGGGCCGGCGGGCGGGCGGGCGGCTAGCCCGGTCGGACTGCTGTCCGAATGCGAACGGCGCGCAATCCGAACACGTTACACCGGCGTGCCCGGTTCTCGCCGTGCGAACACGCCTCACGCCGGGTAAATTTGAACAACGCGAACCGCGACAGGCGCGTGTGTGGCGTATTCGCCTCGCGAATAAGCGCCGGAAGCTCGTCGGATTCGAATATTATTTCCACTTCCCACCCCCACCCCCCCGCTGTAGAAAACACGTTTGCCGAAACGTATTGCGCGATGTCATCCGGCCGCCTGTACCACCGGATGATAGTGGCAACGTGGGCGGGCGGGCACGCGAGTACGGATTAAGCCGAGCGATCTCGCACACCGGTACTCGACCGGTGATCATTGTCGGAACACACGCGCGAATACAATACAATTGTTATCACACGGGCGTACGCGTTACTACAATGCGACCAAACGCATCTGAAGCGTCCGAAGAGAAATAGAAAAACATGAAACAATATTCACAAAATCGAACTTGGATCCCGGCGCGGCGCCTCATTAGTGAACGACGGCTTTGCCACTTGATGATATCCTCTGACCTTTGAGTCGAATGCAATAATATTTGCGCAACAGGAAATGCGCGTGCAGCAGCAGCAGCAGCCGCTGACGACTCGTCGTAATGTTAAACGTTCCATTATTTACACGCGGATACGCGCGCGGTAATAATATTTTGAGAAGTTTTCGAAAATCGCCGCAGGTGATATTATTTGCAGCCGCCGCCGCCGTCTCGGACGAACGCAGAAATTCAACGACGATTCTGAAACTGGTGCCGGGGAGGCTGGGGGAAACCGAATTTTTTTTTTCCGTCTTTAAATGTAAAAACCGACTAAACGTTCATCATTTGAATCATATCGATTGATGTTATCGATGCCGTACGTACGGAAAAAAAAAAAACTCGACGGATTTTGCATGCGGATTTTCGGATTGAATATTATCGCACGAGAAAAAAACCGAAACGTTTACGAAAAAATTGAAAAAAAAAAAAATAAAAAACCCGCGCGCATATACGACGACAACAGGCGAGCGCGTACGTCCGTAGTTATTGTATAAAAAATAATAATCACGCCGTTTCGCGCCACTCGAAATAAAAACGAAACTAGACGGGCATCACGGAACAGCCGGCGCGGGCGCGCGTCGATAATGTTTGACACGCAAAACCGAAAACCAGAACGGGCGGTTGACAGAAGCGTACTGAAAAAAAAAAGGCGTGGCCCGTCCGCCGCTGTCGTCAAAAAGAAGCGGGCCTTTGCGGCGAAAACGGCCGGCGCGGCGGTTCGAATTATTATCGTTTGTTACGCGGGGGGGCCCCTCTGTAACAAAAGCTTCGCGTACGGCGACGCGTCGCGCGCGCTCTCCCCGCCACAACGTTATCGGTACAATAATATTATCGTTGCAACAATATCGTGTCGAGCGCGTTCGATACGATATTATATTTTTTACCCGACGCGCGGTCTCCGCAAAGGTCCCGAGATATTTTTACGGCGCAATTTCCCCCTCCCCGTCGGTTATAATTATTTCCCTAGGGTCGGGCGGGATGGGGGGGGGGAGGCCCTCGCAATCTTATCGGCCGAGATAACCGGGCGCGCTCGCGTTCGATACGTCCTGTGACAATAACAAAGTGTACCGTACGCGCGGTCGACAGCCGCCGCGTTGTTGACGATATAATATTTTGATAATATTATACGGCACACCGACGCCGCGATATCGTTTTCGACGGGAATCCGCGCGGAGTTTTGCGGAAGTCCGTTGATAAGTTATAAAAGAAAAAAAAAAATAAAAAAAAAATGGGAGAAATAATAAAATATCGTCGCAACGCGTTGGACGCGGATACGCTGTTTGTGTTTTTTTTTTGTACGCCTTGCGTCATCATTATCGTTACAATATCTACGCCGCCAATATCTACGGGTTCGTTTTCACCGGCATACACGGCGGTCAGTCAATACGCACGCGGAACATCGCGTAACGTATTTACCGGGTATTTCGCGGCCGCGTACGATTCGAATGAATTACAAGACCGAATCGACGCGATGATTTATGGGCGGTTTCAGTGTTGACAGAGTAAAAAAATAGAAAAAAAAACCGAATAATCTCAAGTCGGAAAACCCCGCTGTCGTAATCGTGTCCCGATGCGCACACACAATACACGCACCAGAGTATAATATAATATTACGTGAAAAAATCGTTTTAACATAATCAATGTGTGGCGTAGGGGTCAAAGACCAAAGCGCGGAAAAAAAAAAAAATCTTTAAATCGCGTGTTAAACGAATTACATTGTTTGTGCTGTGCAGTGTACACTGTACCCGCCGAGCAGTTTTTATGCCAAAGGTTAGCTGCCCATTCGGAGTTGCGCTGTTTAAAATGTATAGGATTTAATTTCGTTCGCTCACGAGCACTTTAACCTACATAGGAATTCGGTTGATAAACTCGAGAACGAAATTATTATTTTAGAAAAAAAAAAAAAAATTCAAATAACCACTTTTAAAACAGTCCACGCGATACCATTATGGAAAAATATGGATTTATTAACATTTCGGCATGTACCGACACGGTTGTTTTATTATCACTTATTATTATTATTATTAATTTTTTTTTTTTAACCGTACCATTATTATACGTTATATAGTGACGCGCAGGACACTCCGAATTCCAGACGACGTGCCGGATATTATATTATTGCGTTGAAGTATTTTCAATTGGGACAACAGTCCCGGTGCGCGGCACTGTAATTCGGTTTTTGGAAATGTCGTGTTTAATATACGTCATAGATGGGCTGCTCATGGGTTCAGTTCGGCCGTCACCGACGGGAAATGTATTGATTTCCACGCACCTCGATTAAATTCGATAAGCAAAATTGATTTTCCGAACCCGAAAACACGGTGAAACACCAAACACGAAACTGCCCAAAACTAGATTAGTGACAAACACCGCAGGTGCCCCGCGTTATACCCTGTGGCATTACCCCGCCGGTACGTACGGACAATAATATTTATAATTTTTTCGAATAAAATTACCGTGTCCAAAGGGGCGAATAGTGAGTGAGAGAGAGTTTGAGAGGGGGGGGGGGTTGGAGGACGGAAGCAAATTTAATTTAAAATAAATAAACCGTTGACTTTAGCACGCAATATAATACCGTATAAACCCGTATAGGTCTAGAAATGTTAAAAACTCGTGGATGCACAATGTCGTCTTGGCTCCCTTTCGGGACGCGATCGCGATTAATAAAATGTATAGTACATTTCAACAGTAATCGACCAATAAGAGCGCATTAGAAAAAAAATAAAATAAAATATGGATAAAAAACTGTTAACGAAAATGTTCGACGCGGACCGCTCTGTATACACAGAATTATTATAATATTATATTCGTTATAATAATAATAATTATTATCTGAGAATTAAAGCCAATAACATAATAATATATAATACAACTAGTTCAATTCGATTCGTAATAAGGCGCGTCCTTATCGTTTGCATACCTCTTTCTGGCGTTTGTTATCTATGTTACTTTTATAACCGTTATTTATTATTCTCCCGGACAACAAAATAATATCACATTATATTCGAATACATCGGCTATTATTATTATTATTTATTGTAACGGTTTATTTTACCGAATTTTTTTTTTTTTCTGTTTCTCTAAAGGTCAACGCTATACGGCGCCGTACGATTCCGAAATGGTTTTTACCATCGCGACAGTCGCCGACAGTTCAGACGAACCATCGAAAATACCGACACCGCCGAGCCCCGGCAACGGCCCCGCGTTATAAACGCCGTGCTCGTATCTACAGATTTACCGTTATTATTATTGTTGTCGTCGTCGTTGTTGCCGACTGCCGTTTGGCGTACGACGCGTTCGCGGCCTTTTCGCGCGCCGCATTATCCAACTTGTTGTTATCGTTGTAAAAATCGTTTCGAACCGTTTTTGTTGCGACGCGAAAAATACCGTTGGATTTCGTCGGCGAAACGCGTACGTACGCTGGTCGCTGTTAATCAATAACCGCCGGGCGTCGAATTACCGTTTGATTTTCGCGAGCGCGCGATTGGAATATGAAAAAAAAAAAAAATTGATAAATAACAATAACCGTGAACATTGGTGGGTATTTCAAGGGACCCGCGGAAACGATAATAATGATACGGATCGACGGCACCGCTAAACAATTGTAGTTATGGGGCGGACAGTCGAACGTTGTCACACGCGGAACGAAATAACTAATTGTACGATATTTGTTTAATTTGAAACTATATATCGTATCGATTATATTATATATTGTTAAAACACGAATCCGATTATGACTATTAAATCTAAAAAGTATAAATGGTTTTTTTTTTTTTATTTTTTTTTAAACGATTTAGAGTTCATATGTACGTTATAATATAGAGTAGAATATATACAATATAATATGTTTCTATTGAATCATCGTTTTTTTTTTTTTCTTTTCTTTTGAGTCTAACTGATAAAATATTTTCAACTAATAAACTCGCACAGCGGTGACGGCATCGGTTAAAGAAAAAAAAAAAGAAAAAAAAAATACTGATAAATTGCAGTGCTCCAAATTAATGATTCTCTCTGCGACTACATACATATATATATATAAATATGTAAAGAAAAAAAAAAACCAATTCCAATATCGAAATTGTTCACGTTCGATTATAAAGACGTATTCTTATATAATAACGCGCGCGTTTAATTACGGTATCAACAATACGGGCGTTTATATTTTGTACAATTTTAAATTATTATTATTATACCCACTGCGGTAAGTGAACCGCAGAAACGATTTGACTGTAATAATATCGATAATGATTTTTAAAGAACGCTGCGCGTTTAGAGTCTCGTTTATAAATTATAACACGCTGAAAGGGTATTTAAACTAGTATTTTTTTTTTCAGTTTTTATTAGTTTTATTTTTATTTTATTTATATTCCGAACGAGGAACGTACCGGTTTAACTGCGATGGCGTGCGCGTTTTTTTTTTTTTTATCCCAGAAATCTTGTTCCGGTTGAAATTATTTTCGGTAATTTTCTCGAAGAATTTTCGATTCAGTCGGCGCACCGGTGAGGCGGTTTATTTTTATTAACATTGTAGTTCTCTTATTGCTTACATTGAACGAGGGGAAAAAATAACATATAAAACTGGCAATTTGTTGTGTAATTTTTGCCGATTTCCGGATTACCTCGGCAGGTTGGGAAAAATTGCTTTTACCGATTATAACACACCCATTGCTAGCGTTACCTATTATAATCGTTATGGGTACCTACGTCCAACGGCTATAAACACTGTAGTAAACGCTTCTATTATATTGTTACAATCCAGAATAAGGCATAGTACACTGGCTCACGGTGAACGTCGCCTCGCGTTGCACATTGACGTGGGTATCGTTCAGTCGCCAAGTTAAACAGCAGAAGACTGTAAAATGAAACTAAGGGCTCGCTCGTCCTTGTCCATATGTCTGAATGTATCTGTACAATATTATACAAAATGTGTTTGAACACACACACGCACACACACACACTGGGTGGGGTTGTACGACGAAAGTCTGATGTTATATAATAATAATACCTAGTGTTTTTTTTTTTTTTTTTTTTTTTTATGTGCGATATAAAATGTACAATATTATAATATTTTATCGCCGTATAATATTATTGCGGTAATACCTCTCTTAATTCGACGGAATTAAAAAAACAGATACACGCACATACTGTTTGATATAATATTATTATAATAATAATGTGTTTGTAATTATTAACGATACATTATAATATACGATAGTGTGTCAATGATTTTTTTTTTTTTTTTTTTTTTTTGAAATATTAATCGTATGTGGAAAATATTATAATAATATAACGATTAGAGTTTGTGTGATTATAGTATTATTATTATAGTACACAGTATGATGAATTTATCTGAAAATATTAACTTCAAAACGCTTTCATAATAATATAGCCTAAGATCAAGCACAATTAATATTATACATAATATTTTCTAATATGAAACATCATACAGAATGCGCGATCATATTTATCACGATGAAAATTATAAAATATAAATCAAGTTCGTTCAAAATCTTCCGTGAAAATCGCCGGATCGTATAAATAGATAATGAGGAAATGTGTACAATTCCTATGTAGTGGTATTAAGTGTATATTAAGGTATCTTTTCATGACATTTAAGTACGCATATTACAATTTATCGATTTTGGCTATCCACTATGTAAACTTAAGGTACTTTGCATACCTGTACCAAACGATTTTGGTTTTGTTGATTACTATATTATCACAAAATTATTAATTTTACATTTTGTTATCGAAACGTAAATTCCTAACCCATATTAGTTATAAGAAGGATAATAATATTGTATATAAGATCAATGGTTACGGAAAATATATTTCAAGTAATACACCTAAATCGAATATCAAATTTTCGCAAATTTCACAATGTGCAAACATTTCACGAAATAAACAATTTCACCAATCGAATGCGAAATTACCAACAATATTACCAAGAAAAAAACGAAAGTACTATGAAAAAGACCCTCGCACAAAATATAAAATATTGCAGGTTTACATTGTTATGTTATTATTATGGATGAACGGCCCGAATGTAGATATAAAAAAAAAAAAAAAAAAAACAGTTTACGTTTTTAAATTGAGTATAACTAAATTGCCTTCAATATACCCGCGGTATAGTCTTATACATACGCGGTCCCTGCAGGCTGTTATAATAATAATAATAATAATAATATAATGTCGTCAACCGTTTTATTTATTAGGCCCGTTTATTTTAACTACACTAATGTTGATGACCCTGATTTCGACCCCTATATTAAACGTACTTGTCGAAATTAATTTGATATATTTTTATATATGGGCACGATCGGTAGCTTCCTTTACACTACGCACAAAACGATTGTTGAAAACAACTGCTGTGCGGCGATTAAATTTATAAAAATAAATAAATAATAATAATAATAATAACCGCTTTATTTAAGTAGTACATTATTTACAAGCATGGAAAAATATCGAACGCCTAGACATAATATTTATACAATGCAATTGAACGATATTGAAAACGACGGTGATTGCATCAAAATGAATAATAATAATAATATTAAAAACCAAAACGACAAACAAATAATAATATATGTTTTGAATATTTAACACAGAATAAATAATCAAGAGCAACCTTAATTGTGACTGGTTAACAGGGGCGAAACGAACGCGGTATTTGAGAATCGGTCGTTTTTCAATTGTTTTTTTCTTTTTTTTTTTTTAAATTTAAAGACGATGCTCAATACGAGTAGTAATCGTTTGCTACTAATAAAATAAAAATACGAAAGCATTTTTTTTTTTCGTCAGAAGAAATTTATTATTATATTAATACAATATAACATACAAAGTATTAATGCAAATAACAAAAATCGCCTACACCTTTAAGCAGAACTTGAGGTGGTGGTGTAGGGATTTATAGTGTACACGTGAGATAAAAAAATTAAATTAAATTACGAATAATAGTAAAAAAAAGAGAAAAATAGAGAAATAGAAATAAAGTCTTAATACTACCGAATTATTAACATTTACACATATCCTTAAATAATATATTATTGATACATTTCTTACTATTAGTATTATAGTATATTGTTAAAGAATTAAAATTTACCGGACCCTGATAATTTATGAATTTTTGACCAAAATTTATATTTGTGTAAAACACTCTAATATTAAATAATCTATCTTTCCTCATGGGATTATCATCAACATATTGGGATATAATGAGAAATATTGGTGGGTGGACATTGGATAGATTATTGGTCGCTTCTGCGTTATTTTAGATTCGTTTCGCCACTGGTTGTACTATAACACGGTGGACGTTATATTATATTAATTGTATATTTATCATAATAGATTAGGTATACCTGTATACTTGTAATGGTTTTTTGTTTGCTTATATTTGTATTTAAGATTTAAGTAAACCGCGCTTAATGTGCAGCTAATGTCAGTTATTATAGGTACAACTTGATTGTTCGTGTTCAAACAGTTTTCACGCGCATTGAACCAATAAATAATTTAAAACCTACCAACGAGTAAATAGGTACAAATAATGAGTACGGTTTTACAATAATTTACTAGCAAAAAAAAAAAAAAAAACCGTAGAAAAAATAAAAATAAATCATGACGTATATAATATATAGTGATAAAATAAACTTTATAATACCGATTAAAATATTGATGATTATATAATCATATTTATACAAATTGCTCTCTATGATACTATAATTTTTATTTTTTTATTTCATGTAAATTAATAAAAAAAAAAAACAAATAAGTTACCGATATAATTGCGATGACATTATCTGAATATTGTACATGATTGTGACGGGTGATTTGGTGTGTTTGAAAACTTCAACAACAAGTAATGAGACGCACTTAAGACGCGTAAAAAATAATTTTATAAGTAATTTGCGATTATGCAATATCTGTAAAAAAAGTCTTTCTTCCGGAATCGTCACACATGTCACTTATGTTAGATATATATTTTTCATAAGATAAAAAAATTGTCATATGTGTCTTTTTTTATAGAAAATATAGCGAAAATGTGTTCACGTAACACGAACTTAAAAGACCCTAAAAATCGGTTTTTATAGATAAAACGTGTACTATAAAAATGTGTAGTTAAGTGTACGTTTTAAATTTTTAAAATATTCATTATTTACACAAAATTACGGTTTACAAGTAAAAAAAAAAATGATGTAAATCAATATGATTTGTTGTACCTTCGATAATGAATTGAATACTGTTTTCGACAATAGTAAAATGCCTACGAGGTAGACGTTTAAAACACACCGTTGTCTTTAAAATATATTATATATATAATAATATTACAGGTGTTTTATAGTATAAAACCGATTTTAAAGGTTATGTACGTTTGTTTAGTCGATCACATTTTCACTCTTTATATATCGCGCCCGTTAAAGAAAGACTGATGAAACGGAAAACATGCTACCGGTGACGGCGGTCTTTTTTAATTCACGTAGGAAGGCGTTGCTTTAATAATAATATTATTATTGCGGTGCAGACGACGACGAAAATATTATTTAAAACGCGACAAAAATATTGAAATTCAGAAACGTCATTGAATAAACAGACAGAGAAGAGAGAGAGAGAGAGTCAAAAAAACGTTCGCTATTAATACGACACTAAGACAAACCTTCGGTCCCGCCCGCGTTCATAATATAATAATAGACGCCACTTCGTCGCAATAATTACAGTACTCTATAAATAAACCGCGTGTGAAACATAGTCACCGGTGGTGGCGGAGGTGGTGGTGGTAAGGTGGTAATGAGTGGTCGAGTGCTTCAAGTCGAAAATACGTATCTGCGGGTTTTTGATGAAATTTCGCGAGTCGATTTAATACGATTTTACAGGGGAGAAGCGAAAAACTGCAGCGGATTTTTACCCAAAGCCAATGATTTCAATAGTTCTTTTTTTTTTTTTTTTCTTCGCTTTTTACTATTTAAATATTCTACACACAGATTATTCGATAGTATTTCCCCGAGGGTACATATTTTCAATTTCTCGACATTTGACTGGCGAATTCCGGATTTTCAAAAAATTGTACGTATACACGGACTCACGAGGTTTTAATACACCGTTTTGCTGATCCGACCTAGCCTCGTAGGTCGGTTTGAGTTGGTTGTTTTCGTATATTATTGTATAATATGAAAATAACGAATCGAATCGCGCCGCAGATGTCGAACCGTGTAGAACAGTCCAGTGTACTAATTAATTTCGTACAAAAATTAAAATATCGATTTTTTCGACTTACGAGGTTTCGTCGCGGAGCCGACGGTACGAAAAAGTAGGCGTTTTTATGCATTACTACTGTTGCACTAGTAAAAACCATCGGGTTACGAACTTCAAAAAACCGCCCGGACGTGACGCGTCCGCAGCACGACGCACGGTGTTACAACGTTAACTTACTGGTAGATACCTATATTATTTACAATGCACCTATATTATACATACAGTTAATGAAATTCTGTCCGACGACGGGGAAATGCAAAACCGACAATATATTGTAGTTATTATTATTATTATTATTTTTTCTTTTCACAAAACAGGTCAAAGATCAGGAACGGTTGACGGCGAAGTTACGAACACCGCGATGGGCGAGGATAAAATACACCGCTCTATCGAACATCATAACGTATTAATATAACGTTCACGAGCACCGTAATATTATTACAATATTTTACAATGTACACGCTATATATTCGGGCGTAATAATTATAAAAGACCGTCTGGTTTTGTCTTGTGTGCGGCGTGTAAAAAAAAAAAAATAAAAAAAAAAAAAAACAATATATTCGTAAAGTTACGAGTTCGTTGCGATTTCCGTTTGTCCGAAACACCGCTAACACACCGCCCGCCGTTTCGCGTAATGTACGGCGTGCGCGCGCGTTTGTGCATACGTGTCGACGATCGACGTGTGACAGCGTACAGCGTACAATGTAATGTATCATATTGTACGCGATAATATTTATTATAACATACGACTTCCGAACAATAATATGATATCCGATAATTAAATCGAACAGAACAGAAACCGTACTACACACGCGTTATTATCGTTGTTGCGCGCGGCCGGCGGGCGACATTTTCTCGGGGCGGAGTCTGGGCCCGTGGACCCCTTCGCGCGGGACGGTCGCGAATCGCGGCCTCGGCCGGGATTTTGCGCATACGAGATTCGACGGCGGAAAGCCGTTGGTTCGGCGTACAAACCTTTTAATACGTATTTTTCGTCCCGCGGAAGATGGGGGGGTTTTTTTTTCTTCCCCAGATCAACCCGGACGGCCGCGGACGGTCAGTTTTCACGTTGCCACCCCGCACGGAAGATGCGCTTAACAGGACGTAATACCCGCATGTACCGTCACAGTCCGGCTACCGGGTAACAAGCAAAAACAATGCTTGCGCAGAGTAAGTAAAACTGGCTTGATTTTGATTTTAGAGTAAAAGTACATACTACACGACTCATAGAGAACGGTATTTCGGAGGGAACGTCGTTGGGTATTTTGTATTATTCAAAATTTACAGCTCGATATAAAAAATACAAAAACTTTGTTTTTTATAGTTCAAAAAAAAAAAAAAAAAACGCCATGACATTCCTTTCAAAATATTGTTCTCTATAAACTGTATAATAGGTACTTTTACTTTAAAATCAAAATTGGGCTAGTTTTACGTATTATGCGTAGGTAATCATTGGTTTTGCATGTTACCCGGTGGTTGGACTGAGACAGTAAATGCGTGTATAGCATCCTCTAAGTCAAAATGTTGTACAATATTCGATACGAGGAAATTGAATTTTGTTCAAACGCAAAAACGCTAATTTTGAAAGTGCACACACCTATGTCATTTCGATCGACAAATAAAGTTTAAACAAATATTGCACGAGATGAAATAGTTAAGAAAAAAAAAAAAAAAATTTGTCCGAGACCAAAGAAATATTTAAGTACCTACGCATACAGTATATATAATTCTTATACAATTAGTAATTTTTCGATTTTATATGATTTATTATACCTAGTTTAGTTCATTAAATATATTATGCTGAGCGTAACGAGGAATGCGTAAATTGGATTTACTATAAATATGATGTGTGCTTTGTATTTTGTCTGTCTGTAAAAAACTTTTTTACCAGAATATTTCGTCTCGTTCCGATGCGTTAAAACAATTTTTTTTATTTATTTCCTTGTAGTTTTTTGATATTGGAGAAAACGTGATAGTTTATGCAATAATGGTTTCTATTATTTTCGATATTCATTTTTTGTTTAAATTTCGTAGACCCAAGATTTTCCTATTATCTGTAATAATAGATAATTTGACCTTTTTTAAGTTATTTATAACCATTTGAAAATGTCGAGTATTACAGTTTTTACCGATTTATTTATGTGGCTAAAATTGTTTTGGCCCCGCAAACATATTTAAAAATTCGATACAAGATCCATCAAACGTTTTTTTTTTTTTTTTTCATGGCTTTCCGTGAACCTATCGAAAATTTGTATACGACGTTTGACGACATTATATTATTGTATTGAAGGTATCGCGAATACAATATTAGTTTAATATAATAGTTCACCCCCACCCCCAATATAAACTTTACGTACTTATATCTAAATATGTATCCGCAAAATAAAACTTTGTGTACATAATTTACAAGAACGCAGAATACAAATAAAGAGCGGAAAAAAAAACCTGTACGGAAAAATAAATAAGTATATATACTTGGACAAATTGTGCATTTGGCCAACTCGGTTAACTAAAATAAACAATTATAATTGTCGGGATTACATTAAAGTGCGGTATGACTGGCGTTAATCCAAATGACAGTTTTACAATACACACACACAAACACCGGGGTACAATAAAATCAACCGATTGTAACAATTATTATTACCTAACGAAAAACATCCGAACAAAATAAAATAGAACTTTGGCTTATCCTCGACATTACGATATAAGTGTTATATGAACAATAAATAACACGGTGATTTATATTCCTTAAATTAATTTAAATTAATTTAATGCATTATACAGGTATTATATATTTTTTCGAACCATTGTTAGGACAATTTTGTACCTTTGGTTGTTTAGAGTACATTTTCAATTCTACCACGGTCAATAATATGTATAGTATGTTTTAGATAATATAGGATAAAAAATTCCAAAAACGTTAAAAGTTATATTTTGTTTTTATATATACTCGCGTATTGATATTCACCAAGCGATTGCAATTTTTATATATATATAAAAAAAATGAGATTAATTTAATGAAATAACGAATAATTTTAATTGATACTAAATCGATAAAAATATTAAAATCTACTATTTCTATGCTTTGAACATGTTTTCAAATTATTTTTTCCTGTGTATTATACACGCCTATTAGTACAACAGTTACTCGATATTATTTTTACAAATTTGTATTTATTGATAACGATAAGTACCTACCTACCTACCTAATCAACTGAAATCGTTTCTTAGTTTGGTTAGGTAAGCATAAATAGGTTACCTACATTGATAAATTATGACCTTTGTCAGTGATGTGTAACGTTTAATACTTCTTTAATTATATTATATTCGTTTAACGTTCCTTATTTAAATTGATATAAATTTATAAATTAATACTTAATTTAACATACTTTTTTTTTCAAGTCGTTATTATTTTGAACTCAAACCGTGAAAACCAACATAAATAAATAACATATTACTGTTGAATAAAGTGTAAGGTGCCTAAAGCTATTCTTAACATATCGAAAGGAAAAAATCAAACAATGAAAAATTTAACTTTTATGACTTACAAAAGTAGGTACCTAACTTAAGACTCAAGATTTTACTTTTTGACTCGAGCCACATGTCATACATTTACGTTATAACTTATAATGTACATCATTATTTTTTTTTTTTTTTGTGTCAGAATTAGATTTTCAATTCTTGTTAGTAAGTGATGAATTTAATACTCTTGAACGCGAATTATGTTTTACTAATTAGACTAATATATTATTTATTTTATGTATTTGAAACATTCAAACATTGTTAAGTTTGGAAATATAGAACAACAATACCACCATTATTAAAAGATAATGAAAAAAATCGTCGTGATCGACACTTTTTGAGTGTAGTTTATAAATGGAAAAAATAAATAGGTTATCAACAATTTCCATCGATTCATCGTGTTCGGAATAATTAGTTTATGAAAAAAAAATTATACCTATAGTGCGAGGCCCTTTAAACACAATAATTTACTCGCACTACTCGCAATGCGTTACGTTTATGAAAATAATAATAATAATTTTCAACGAACACGTAAATATTATATTGCAATAAAAATGCTAATTTAATTTATTCCGAGTTACTGTACGCGTCACAAGCACCTAACCTAAATTCGTTTATAAGCCATCTCGTAATACCTATCATTATATCATTATTTCAAGACATTCAATAATGTTCCTGTTTTTCGAGACGAATTCGATTTCAGTATGAATTGTCAGGTACACATTATATGGGCACCAGGTATCCATCACCGCGTTTTTTGAAATATTTTTGATGTCTCTGTGAGATAAAACCGTCGCGTATTATTGAGTCCAGCCGTGAAAAATATTGTTAAAAAATGATAAATCGCTTAATATATGTTTTACGTTTATTGTGTAATAATATTAAACGTGTATACGGCTAGCTACCTATCTGCCCAAGAAAAATGTCTTTTGCTCCGTGTAAACGCGATAAACGGACGTATTATTTAAACGTCAACAATATATGTTTTAAAAAATGTACTGAATTAATATTTGACTGCTATTATAATATGTGGCCGTTTATACATTCGTTACGAATTCATTTAGATTCGGTATAATATTATATATTTTTATATACATGCACGGGTATAACATGCCACCGTTGGAGTTACGTACACACACATGCACACACGCGCACGTTATATTTGCATAACAGCGGCGTACATATATTATATTATGGTGTTTTTAAAATTCAAAAACAATACTTGTGTATAATACGTCCGTGTTTACGAGGGGTCAACACATTTTCTTCCATTCGGATCGATAGAAAAAAAAAAAAAAAAAATAAAAAAAAAAAAAAAAATAATAAAAAAAAAAAATGAAAACGAAAATCAAACGAATTTATATAATATCGTCTGAATGCATCAAGCTGCTGCAGTCTACATAAATTATTATTATCACCGTAATAATAATAATATGTACGAAGACCACCTGCGTCCCGATAACGCACTCGGCCCGGGGTCAAAAAAATACGACCCCCGATAATGATAAAAATATGTGCATCTATCTCTACAACATAACACGTTACAAACTCCAAATTTTTCAAAGGAGTTTTAATCTATGTTAAGACGGCGTACATGGTAAATAATAGCCCGTAGAGGACAAATGTACACCGTAATATTGTGTAAAACTATTTATGTATATTTTAGATTACGCGTTGTATTTATGGCCGTACATAATAATAATATGATAACTATGTGTGTACTGCTGCAGTAACGAATTCTGTACGATGATGGGTAGCGATGAAATATAAAATCAAATATTATTATCATTATGTTGTTCTATACCGTACTGACTCGAAAGGATTTTATAATAACACACAACAATAGTGTTTGGTCCGTGGGGTTTAAAAAGTCTGAAAAAAAAAAAAAAACCGACCGAAACACATTTGTAATATTTTAATAACACAACTTTTGATGTAATGTTGTTGCCTATATATGTATTATCGAGGCTGGGCAAGTTAATGAACAATCATTATTTTTATAGCATTACTCGATTAAGTCAAATTAATCGGGAAAAAAAAAAGGCAATGACTGACTATAATGAGTTAACACGTTAAAAGGCAATTATCGTGTTGACTTAAACGAGTTATGTTAAAAGTTCACTCGACAATTAAATATTGTAAAAATATTATGCATTTTGTTATCTTGATAGTAAAAATGGATAAACTTGCAGGAGTTCGATATTATTTTTTTAAAAATAGGCTGATCATTGGTTAAACATATTTATCTTACGTTCTAAATTCAAAGTACATTATTGTGTGAAAAAAATAAATATATATAAACCTATTATGTATATATCGGTTGTATGGTACCGGTTCAAATCAGTGTATAGATCGTAAATTTAATATTGCGTAAATTAAAAGAAATATTAACAAAACGGGATGTAATTCAAGTTTAAGTAAAAAAAAAAAAAAAAAGATTAGTTCAAGTTAATTTGAATATTAGTTTTTAACGTTCAGCTTCGTACACATAATATTATTAAAATATTGTGTGCAGTAAGACGAAAAAAATGTTTTCGGATAACTACGATCATAATAAAATATATTGTAAAACGTTTCATAAAGCTAAAAAAAAAAGAACACGTTTACATGTTTATCTACCAAAGTATAGTAATAATATTGAAGTTTAAGACTTTTGAAATTTGTTTGAAAAATATTGAGGACATAATATAACCAATAGGTACACATATGTTGCTCCCATTATAAGCAAATGTATTTTAATAATTTTATAGTATTTAAAATACTGGTTAAATACTTTTCTTAATTCAAGAATTATTGAAAATTCTGTGTTATTTAATATTTAAATAATAATACATTATAATTTATATACCGTGATTTGGATCTTGTGATTTCGTTCTCATTATAAATAGAGAAGATCGAAGTCAGACAAACACAAATCGACAGTGTAGCGACGAATGAGACACAAATCAAACTAATATGGGAGGCTTACAACAAATATTTTCATACCTATTAATAGTCGAACCTTAAGTGCAATACACAATTTTAGCATGATAATTGTACAATTCATATTTCATTTATATTTGTTTAATTCGTTTAATGTAGGTATTACAATTATTTTAGAAGTAATAATATACAGCACACATTTTATTTATTTTCATTTTTTTCAGTATAAAATGAAGTAGGTGGTACAAAGTTCTAATAATAGGTACTTAAATAGTTGAATTTAAATATTTGTTCAAATATATTAATAATTTATAATATTATTACCGTAGGAATTAAGTAAAATTTAACAGATTTATTATAATCTATACTAATGAAAGGATAAGTGCGTCTGTCTAAATGTGTGTTTGTAGTGTGCAGCCCAATCTATAACGCATGTTGAGATATGAAAATTACACAAAAAAACAGATGGGCGAGTAAAATTAAATTTTTTTTTGTTGATTTATGGGTTATGCAAAAAAAAAAAAAAAATAGTTATTATTAATTGATTTGGTTGTTACGGGAAGGGAATATCATTTTTAAAAACTAAATTACCGTGCAACTATATGCGGTTAACAGTTAGATTTTAATGTTATATTAGTCAAATACGTTATTTACATACAATTTCCTAAATTCCTGATACATTGAAAATAGAATTTAGTAAATATATTAGTATTTATATAATGTATAGTATTATGTAAAATATACAGTAAACATTATAAGCTGACAAAATTATACTTAGCAACAGTTCTACTTATAAGACGATATTTATATTACTTATATTTTACCCAATAATATTTTGAAGGTAATTATTGTATTGTCTCATGATAAATTATATACATTGTACACAAAAACAGAAAAACTACGACGACCTGTAATAGAATACACACACAGATTTAACAAAAAAATAATGGATCTTTTATCAAAAATAATGAAAATAAAAAAATTGTATAATATTATTAGCAACTTAAGGTTTATATTACTTATCCTGAATTTTAATAATGACTAATTTTATTGAGGGGTATCTACACCAACATTTTTATTTTCTCTATGGGGGCAAAGTCCTAAACTCAATCGGAGAGTCGTATTCGTAGAAATGCAAATTGCATTTGTTGAAATATTACATGCTAGACAGACAGAGAAAACAAATGTTGATATAGAGGCCCTAAACGTCAAATCACTTATAATATTATTGACTATATATTTTCCCCATCAAATCATAAAAAAAAGAAAAGGAAACATACGGTTTTATTATACGAAAGTGCGACATCGTCGAATGAAACGAGAAGTGTTTATAATTTGAAAATCTCTGTTTTAATTACCGAAAAGAAAGTTCTAAGTATGTACCCAAGTGTGACACGACGTACGTTTGATAGAATATTATTCCATATTTTTTACTCGAATAAAACATATGCGAGTTAGGCGAACAGTACAAGTAAATCGGGTACAGGGGGGAAAAAAAAAAAAAAAGAAGGTTCATCAGACGTTAAAGCCACGCCCAGACGAGGGTGTGACACAGACCTACTGCAGCTATATATATACGTGTGTATAGCTTGGTCGATACAATTATTATAACAAGTTGACATGCGATACACCGACTCGCCGGAATATTATTAAAAATCATTATTTCACTTTACTGCAGTAGCATAGTACAATAACAACAATAATATAATCGTGAAACACGTTCGGGCATATCCGTCAATTACATTGGTGGCATCGGAATACAATACTGATAATATGCATAGCGGCGAAAAAAAAAAAAAAAAAAATAGAAAAACTTTCGAACAGTGCAACTGTTAACGTTCACGAACGAATGCGTTTATTTCTTTTTAGTGTGCGATGGTTTATATATATATACATTTTACTAAACGATTCGGTGGAACACGTTTTAGTTACACGTACGTTAAGTTAAATGCGCGTTGCGCTTGCCGTTTTATTTTTGAAGCAGTTAACATTCCGCCGGGATCGTCTTTAAAATAATATGTACACACATATATTCTCCTCAAATACTGTGCTCATCTTTTAATAGGTATCCAAAATGAGCCAGGCGAACGTGTCCGACGACGACGACGACTATAAAAAATTGTACCGACGGCAAAAAGTTTTTTTTGTTTTTTTTTTTTTAAAATCTAATAATACAAAACGAAAATCGTTTTCAATACGCGTTTACGTTCGTAACAATTCGTTATTAACGACTAGGAAGGAAGCACGTATATCATAGTAGGTGTACAATCAGTAATATTATCTTGTATTGTACAGTGGATACAACGTTATAGAATTACCGAATTAAGTAATTGGCGATTTGTAAAGTACCGTATGGGTTTTAGATTTGAATTTCGAATCGATTATTGGTCGAATTCAAAGGTCCAGAAAAAAAACCACTCAGCCGACGGGTTTATCGTGTATTGCGGCTATTCGTTTTCGATATTTTCCAATAAGGGAACAACAGCCTGAAACAAATCGAACGGAAGGAACGTGTATTGCGAAATGGGTGGGGTGTGGTTACGGGAATATTATAATAGTATAACGCAGCGCGCCGTTTGAAAAACAACGATCGCCCGTCCTGCGATTCGAGAATAGGTATCGAGAAACAAATCGCGGAGACGCGCCCGTACGAAACGTTATCAATAACGTTACCGGTACTGCGCGCGACGGTGAGAAGGGGGGGGAGGGTCGACGATAACCGCGGCGGTAACTGGTAACGCGCGGTTGCGCGGCGGTATTCCGGTAACGACGACGTCGCGCGCTTTCGGCGCCGTAACGTAATCGTTCGTTCAACCGTCCGGTAACCCGAACCCGGACCTACCGGGAAATCACGAGGACCGGGCTGTAAATAATTAGCCGATAATCTTTTTCAACAGCGACCGGTCGATTTTCCGGCGTTACCGACACGGTTAATAACACGGACGCGACCGAGGGCGGGACACGCCGCCGGCACACGCTACCCCCCCCCCCCGGCCTTTGTCGTAAACGAACGAATGTTTCCGACTCGGTACCAGCGCTCAAATATTGTCGTCAATTATTTTTTTAAACGATTACAACCGGCCGAACGCGCCATTTCTAAAATATTATTATAACATAATTATTATTACTGTTGGTGCGCGTGTTAAAAATGTATGTGTACATTTTTTCGTTACGGCGTTTATATCGACGGAATCCCGGGGGCACCTCTGTAACGCAACAATAATGCAATTTCACGAGGCGCTTATCGTTTCCACGTGCGAGCGCGGGCCGGTAGAAGGAAAAAAAAAAAATTCAAAGTGCGCGCGCACCCGCAAACCAATCGCCGCGTATGACCGCGCACGCGGTTCAATATCGCCCACATAATCTATATAGTTATACCTAACGTACCCGGATAATATTACGGTAGATGGGTACACCGGCAATCGAATATATGATATTATTGTTCGAACGGACGAGAAAAATCATGCCGAAAATGATTTCGACATTCGAGCGGTGGAGGGAGGGGGGCGGCGATAATACCGCGACGGAGGTATCACGCTAATGATGTTAACGCAATGTGTATGCCGCGCGCGGTTTGAAACTTTTACCGGATCGCGCGCGTGGTATAATTACAGTTACAGAGACGGAGGACGCGATATGGTTTTGCAGGAAAATCGGAGAGAAACGGAAATAAATAGCAGAAAAAAAAAAATAATAATAATAATAAATACATATAAAAAAGAAGAGAAAACGTCGCTTACCCCGCTGTGGCCTGGCCTCGGTAATCGGCGGCACCACTCGACGACGGCGACGTCCGATCCGAAATAAATTGCCGCGCGACGTCGTCGGCTCCTCGCGCGCACATTTACGCTCGGCTCGGGCGAATGGCGCGACCGTCACCGCCGCCGCCGCCGCCGCCGCGCCGTTATCTTCGCCGTCGCAGCAATGTGTGGAAACGTCGCGCGCGGTTACTCGAACGCCCGCGCGCGCGCGCGCGCACAACAATAACGTCAAGGGGTTATCAAACGGCTGCGGGAAGCACACACGCGTTGCCACCCCGCGCCGCACCCGAAACGCGGCGGCCGCCGTTGCCCGATATACCGGGTGAACGTAATTTCTACCATTATTTTCACAGGCGATATACCTGTACGACGCGCGTGATATTTATGGGAAAAAAAAAAAATAATAATAAAATAATAACCGTATGTGTCATATTGTAGTATTGTACCGCACGTGTGTGTGTGTGTGTGTGTGTGTGTGCGCGCGCGCGCGCGCGTAGACGAGCGTCGAATTTACAGGAGAAAAAAAATCGTCAGGCGTTCTGTAAAAAACGAAAAAAAAAAAACGCCGACTCTACGTATATCGCCACTATATTATCTATAATACTCGACGTGTAGGTTTATCGTAACGTGTTCGTCGACGGGAAACGCAAAATGTTTCCACTGTGCGTAGAGGTCTCGTTACTCGTCGCATCGGATAGGTAAACGAAAATATAATAAAAATCGTAAAATATCGAAATACACAGTGCGTAGATAACGGACAGACTTTGACGACGGAAACTGATGTCCCTGGAGTGTTGTGGCCATGCTCCCGCCTAATCTGGACTTAGAAATACATTTTAATACCGTAAAATCGGGCGATTTTGGACGGTAGGGTGAAATCGGACAAAATCAATTAGTTAATTTTTCAATCTATATGGTACTTTTTTTAACGCGGAACATTTTTTAAAACAATCTTAATGGCCGAAGCCATATCGAAGAGGTTTAATTTTGAAAATATGTTTGAAAAGCATTTAAGCACGAATAAACCTTTGAGACCATTTTCAGCTCTCTAGTAACAGTCCTTCGTCGTTAAATTTGAGTTTAAAGTTGAAAACTGTCCAAAGTCGCCCGATTTTACGTTATGCGGAAAATAAAAATAATAGAAAACGCAAAACGATAAAACGATAACCGAGTTCAAAATTCGGAAATCATCAATTTTAGGTTTTTATTAGGTTAATATTGAGATCACCGATAAATTAATCTCTTGACGATTTTATTTCATAAATAGTATTGTAAAGGTTTATTTCCTGGGCCACCCACCGCTTTTAAAAGCGCAGCCGATACCGTGTTCGGATGAATCGCTACACTCAGAAAGAACGCATATTAGAAATTTTAAAACTGTTCAAGATAGACAATAACTAAAAGATTTAATAACTCGTATAATGATCGTAGATTTTGTTCTGACGAAATTTGTTTTACAATTGTGTTTAATTATAGTAAATATATTTGTTTTTTTTTTCTACGAACAATTTTAAAATACGAACACGTGATCTTCTGTATTTAGCGATTCGTATATTATATCGAGTTTTGAAGTTTTGAGGTACATCATATTCAGTGAAGTAAATTGATAATATTACTTTGGTAAAGTATTATAAGTAATTTATTGATATGCAATAAATATAAATTACCTACTATACCATTTTACGAGTAGTTTATTTTCTATTGATTTATTCAAACAATTGCTAGTATGTATACTGAGTATTGTTGCTGGTCAGTGGTTATACTTATTGATTAGTCATTTTTCTTTTTGAAATTTGGTGTTTGGTTTTAATATTTTTCGGCCGAATTGATTACAAATTGCAATGTACAATGTATCGACTGGTTGTATACGATTATACGATGGGAAACAAAGTTTTCACATTTATAGTTTGTACTTTGTATTTCAATATAGCAGCGTAGGCATTTTATGATTTCAATACATTTTTTTCATTCAATATGGCATAGACATAAATTTATAATGCATGTTATAAATTTATAATACAAAGTCTAACCTCCGGTTTTTCATGGAAGAAAATCTTTCAATAATGTCATCCTCCGGTACACTTATTTTTAATAAAGATCAATGACGTGTATTTAGATAACATGTTCTTTTTTATTGTTTTACTGTATAAAAATAACGTAAATGGTAATTGTAACTTGGTTATAGTTATAACCATATTTTATTTTATACCACCATAATTATTAAATTGTATTATCGTTTTAAATTTATTTTTCGACAAAAATATATCTTCTACTTTTATTATTAACTTTGCTTCAAATATGACTTTATATATTATTACGCATTTGTTCACACACTTACTATAGCCCAAATTTATTTTAAAGTAGCCCAGTTGGCGACTAGTCTCCAATTAATAATTCTATTAACAAGTAGACTTACAAAGGTACCCCAATTGGCGATAAAGCTGTTATCGACAAATGTCGTTAACGAGTACTTATCGAATTTTTCGTTATGTACCCAACTTTCTTAACGAATTTGCAATTCTGTAATATCAGTTATCACTAGCTTTACGTTACAAAACTGAATTTCGTGTGACTGACATTTTCGTCAACTCTGTCAAATAATCCAAAGAGTTTCATTAAATTGACCAATTAAACACTATCTTGATGATAAGCATATATTATAACTCAATTCGTGATGATAAGCTTTTTTTTTTATATCACCAACTAAAGTTATTATGAAAGTGACACTAATATAATATTAAATTATTTGTAATATTATTTTTTGATTATTTGCCGTATTTCGCCTTTTATTTATTTGTCAGTATTTGTTATTATTAATAATATTAGTGTATTGATAATAAGTCTCTAATATAGAAGATCGCGTCGAATGCTAATTTGGGACTAAAACGGAACATAAATATAAATTCTTCAAGAGGTGGTTCAAATGGATTTTGCATATCTCTCAAATCCGTCTTTCAACACGGTGAACTCTTTGTTCCAATTGCAAAAGTTCCCATAGGCATTAAAAATTCTACGCATATGTGACTGATGAAAACGATCGTATTAGGTAAAAAACAGACAATATAAGAATCACAATTGTAAGAAGAAAAAATTATTTTTATGTACTTCTATTATTAAGTATTAAAATTCTAAATAGGTACCTATGATAAATGATAATACGAAACATGTTTTTCCTCCAATCCATCGTCGGCAAGTGTTATCGAGGGGTCGAGATGGGTGTATAAGTTATCGACAGTTTAAACGAAAATATTTGTTAGGCTAACGAATCGCTTTGATGGATAATATTCGATAAGAATATAGAACACTTTTAATAGCTTAAAACGAACCGACATTTTTCGTTGAGCTACCTTATCGAGTAACAGAATTACAGTATACTGTTGCTGGTCCAACCAATCGATTCGAACAGCAAAAACGAAATGATAAAGAAACCTTGAACCGACTCGACCAAAGATAACAAAACTATTTTTATGTCCATGGATTTAACCATGTTATCATGTTACCAACTACTTCATAGGAAATAAATTTCAAATTAATTGTAAAAACAGAAACAACGCCCGTATGGACCACTGGGGTGAGGGAGCTAATGCCCATTTTGCCATCCCTCAGGTACGCCACTGACAATAAGCTCCGTGTCATTTTACATCGTGATACTGGATAGACATTGTTCATAACATCAAGCACGTTATAATGAAAGAATTTTATCAAATGTACTTGGCATTCATTATGACCACGATTGGATATAAGGGACGGCGCGAACGCAGTCCCAGCTAAAAAAAAATTCTACGTCCGAGGTATCCACATTAGGGATACTCGCAGGGGTCAACCCGATCGGTATGTGCAATGATCGGGCCTCGCCCTGGAGGAACCGCCCAGATGATCACGGTTGACCTCCACGCCAGGTAAGTATGCTCGATTGAAGTGCCGAGGCCGGTTATATGCTGTGGGCCCGCCACTCGATCCGGTAACCGAACCAAACCGAACATGACCGATGGGCGGGCCGCAGACTGAACCGGTAACCGGTCACCGGTCTACCGACTTCCGCGGTATCCCTGGACTAGTAGCGAACTTTTCATCCGTTTTCCTGAGACGCCGAACGCGGAACGGCCCGTCGAACCGCGATTCGAAATCGTATTAAACGGTTAGCGCCATCTATGAACAAAGTGTCATATGCGTGCGTTATTCCGCGACGTTTAATCACGCATCATTTCTCCACTTGATGCGGATGAACTGGTGTCGAGTCGTTTTTGTTATCTTTCTACCACTAAATGAAGAATTTTTTTTTAAATTTCATTGTTGTTATCTTAATAATAGTGTAAAAATCGGAAAATGTACGCAATAACGATTTACGTTATTTTTGATTTGTTATGATTTAGTTGAAATTAACCGTAGAGACCTAGCATTTCATTCGATACTTCTAAAACCCCATGAATGGATAGACAGAATCAGACTATCCCGTGAGAAATTTAACCTTTGCGGTCCATATATTACGGCCGTTACGCCACGGCCCATTTCGTTAAAAAAGAAGGCGGCCCACCGTTAAAATTCCAGTGTCTCAGCGGGCGTAATCAAATTTTAAAATTTTTCCGTCATCTTTGAGTAGTTTATACTGTATTTATGGTTTTATATGGACACAATGTTTGTTTGTTTTCTCAAAAATCATTTTTCATTTGCAATGATTTATCGTTGTGTATATATATAAACTAAATGACCTAATGGCCAGTGTTATAAATATAATATACTACTATACCTTTCCAACTTCTCACTTACCACAATGAACCACCCATAATACGAAGTATTTCCGTTTTTTATTACGTAATTATTCTCTGCAAGTTTTTCGATAATAATTATAATATATTTTTGAAACCGTTTCGAACGAATCACAAGTGTTGAAATTGAAATGTTTTGTCTATGAAGGTTTTTTTTGTTTTTGTTTTTTAATCGTCATTCAAAAAGTATACAGAAGATAATACGACTAAAGAAAAAATCGAGTCACCGGTTTCCGGTAGAGAAAAAACCTTTAGTTCTGCTTTTTTTCCCACCGGTACATTATAAAATTAAACGCTGTACTGTTATATAATTATTAATTATTTTATTATAGCATATGACTACAGTACGTGTGACAGTAAGACTTTCCTTTTGTTACATATTTAAATCTATGTTGTCGATTTTATTTTTCTATCGTAAACAGTACTGTAATTAAAAAAACTGGAAATATTTTACACGTATAGGTTGACACTCGACAAAAATAATACTTCGGATGTGACGAAAAAGTTATATTAGATTTGTTAAAATGTGGTTTTTTTTCTGAGAAAACACTTTTTAGATAAGTAAAATTGCTTTGATTTTTACACAACACATCTTAAAATTATTTATGTATTTTTAAAATTTCTCAGAGATTCAGGTAGACAATTTTAATGTTACGACTAGTGGTGTAGACTTACTAAATAATACTTATTAGGTATCAGTAAAGGGAGGATATTAATGTTAAAACATGACAATTGTCTTTATTGGATGTAATGCACAACTACCCGAGTAAGATATAATATAATGTGTCCTGCACGAGTCGTAAGTATACTAATTACTTTAATAATTATAATTATAAAAAAAATAATTTTTTATATAAGTGCATATTTTCACGTTAAGAGAATATTTATATTCGTATAAAAAGCGTATTTTACCGAAATGTTTTGAGAATATTTCATTTTCACAGAGAATAATGTATGAGCGTAGTATGTTGGCCGTTTCTAAGAGAATGTAAATCCGCGCTTTACCAGAAACACGCGGTGTCGAATAGCAGTGGAATTATCTATAATTAAGTAACGATCGGTGTTCGCGCGTCATTATAAATAATTAATATTAAAAATAATGTTATACTTGTAAAATTGTGTATCAGTGTGTAAAGTCGATTGGACTTCAGACACCAATAATTTGTAGTATTGAAGACGCGTTAGTATACGCCTAATTAGCTAAATCTGGTTCGTTAATAACGGTTTTTTTTTTTTATTTTTTTTTTCTCTTTTTCTTTTACCATAGGTCAGCTTTAATAAAATACATCCGATTCCGGTCAAATATTATCGAATAATTTAATTTCTGTTCAGAGCGAGGAATGTAATGGTTTTACAATGATGTTTATTTTTTCTCTGCGAACAACTTTACTACCAGATATTTTGATCCGATTTTCCCGTGTAGTACTTTTGCCGAAAGGAAATTTGACAAGGATAGTACTTTAGGGAGGTCAGTTTTTGATTTTACAATTATTCTTTTCATAATAAATGCATAAAACCGGGAAAAAAATGTAGGAAAAACGGAAAAATTTACGAAATGTATTATTTGCAAATTGTAAATATTACGACCTTTCAAAACATATATAACCGGACTCCGCTTAGAATTGTTTTTCGTTAGCAATGATAAATCATTGCGTTCAGATATACATTAAATTTCCCTTCTACCTTATCGACTTTTCACCTACAACAGTAGCCTATCCATCATGCGAAGTACGAGTATGTCCGATTATTTTTAGCTTCTAAGATTGTTTTTACCACGATGATTATCAAGAAATAATGCAGTGATTTTTTTTATCATGTACCAGCAATTATTTTAGGAAGATTTTAAGAGAATTTAATTCCTGTTTTTTTTTTTTGTTCAACCATTGTCGAATCATTTAAGCTTTAAGTGTTTTAAAAAATTTTACATTTTTTATTACATATACCTTAAATAAGTATATATTTTTGGTTTTTTAATATGAAGCTCCATTGTTGTACACATATTCGAATAGAGTTAATTTTCTAGAAATGTTGACACTATAATATCAAATTTGTCGCATATGAGTTATAACTGTTTAAAGTTTATACCGGAGGAGTAGGGTCTGTAGAGAAGAGTTATAAATTTATCATTTAAAAATAGGTATACAGTTTATTACCCTTCCTTATCAAAAGAGACCGAATGAATTTTCACCTGGTCTAAACTTTAAACGATTATAATTTATAAATGGTAAATCTGATATTAGTGTTATGCATATCAAAATGTCTAAAAAAATATTCTATATTCGAATCTGTGTTTAAAAAGGAGAGTCCCTATTTGAAAGACAAAAGTATAATACCTATTTAATGTTTATGAAGTAGAGGTATCAAAATAAAAAGCGGTTTTAACATAAAGCTTTACCGATTCCACATTGATTAGAAAAAAAAACAGAAATCAAATTCACGTAAAATCTTCGAGAAAATTGCTGGTTCACGGAAAAAAAAAAAAAACACTGTATATTTATAATGAAAAAAAATATAAAAATGGATTTGACGTCAATCAATAACACGATACTAAAATGATGATTTGTTATACAGCTCAATAAAAAAATAAATAATCAAGAGAATTTCACTAATTTCCGAACGTGTATTGAAATAATTTATATCAAGTTATAGAAATAATATTTATTTTTTTTTTTTTATGTAGTTATAATCATTTATCACAAATGCAAGGAAATATCAGCTATAAAAGTATATAGACATTATTTTAATTAATAATAATAAGTCGGCTATATTAACGACTCTTGGGTATTGGATTAAAATATATAAATCGCAATTACCAGGTACTACTGAATTAGTAATGAAATAATCCACTGTAAAAAATTCTATGTATTAACGTATAGTATTCATAATATTTTACAATATTATGTAAATTAATTTTGAACTTTATGATTAGGTATTCATATATAATTTAATATTTATATTATTTAATATTATAATATATTATGTTAAAAAAAGGACGGACATACTTCGCACGTGGTTGCAGCCACTTTTGTTGGTGGAAAGTCGGGAAGATAGGATACAGACGGGAATTTAATGTATATCTGTAAGCAATGATAAACTATTGTTAACGAAAAAACGATTCTGAGCGGAGTTAAGTTGATAGTGATACTTTGTCAACAATGTATATGTCATATATTGGTTGATAATAAATATATATATAAAATATAAATAAATATATAAACATATACATATATAAAATGATTACAATGTGCGTTTCCATGACAACAATGTTTGTATAAAAAATATTAAAATAATAAAAAATTAATACTAACAAAAAATAAATAAAAACGGTTGCTAATAACAACCTTATTTTTAGTCTTTCGATCTTTTCTAACCTAAAGACCAAGGTTTTCCTCATTATTTAAAATATTAACGAGAATTTCAAAATATGACTTCCTTAAAGTACCACCCAGAGAAATTTTCCTTTCAGTAAAGGTGCTATACTTGATAATCGGAAAATGTTTTCTGGTAGAAAAAGTGTTCACATAATAATATAATAAAAAAAACATCATTATAAAACCAATACATTCCTCGTTCCACTCAGAATCTAAAATTAAAAAAAAAACAGCATTCATAGAAAATATATGGTATTGATTTGTTTGATATTATCATATTATTCACGTTATTCGTTATCAATAGTTTATTATCATTGTGTACACAAGGGCGCACGCAGAGGGAAAAGGAATCATTGCCCTTCCCTGGGCTTTTCAATTGTATGTACTTTATTATGCATAATGGCATATTATTTTACCATACAAATGTAAAATATTTCTAGAATAAAAATGTGTTTTTCCCGTTTTGCCTTGGGTGAGATTTTATTCTGCAGGCGTGCTTGTGTGTACAGATATAAAGATATGAATTAAATAACTTTATGTATCCTGCCTTCCCAATTTTTTATTGTCGTTACTCTTGTGAAAACAAACGCAGAGACTTGATATTCAGACAGAATACTTATACATTAGCCTTTTAGAGAAGTGGTAAAATAATTTTTTGAGCTGTGGAATTTTAAATTTTCGAATTCTAAACATTCCGATACGATGCGGTGCGTTTAAGTCGTAGAGTCGGTTGTGCTAGCAATATGGACGCGGTGCCATTTACTATATAGAAATTCGTAAATTAATAATAAAGGTATTTTTGTTGCAACTTTTTCTTAAAAATTGCTTAACTAAGCTTCGTTCGGAATCGTCTAATCAATGATTTATCTATATAAATATAAAATCTTTATAAAAATAAAATCTCAAATATATAATAAAATGATTTATTGTCACTTATATATACATTAGATATACATTTAATTAAATAACTCTGTATGAAATGTATTCTACCTACTCAACTTTCCAACTATAACAGTTGCACGCCTATTAGCAGAATCAGATTTTTTTTTTTTATTTTTACCATTTAAATATTATATATCAGTGGTTTTCAACGTTTATGGGTCCACGGCTCTTCTGATTTTGAAATCCAAATTATCGGTTCCCTTACGAATAATGATAATAATATACAAACGCAAATAAATAACTTTACTGTATTACTCTACTATATTTACTTTAGCCGTGGCTCCTTTGATACTAAACCACGACGCCCCTGGGAGCCACGATGTACAGATTGAAATCACTGTTATATATTGTAGGTAGTATGCTTTTAATTTTAAGTGGCCTGCTCGTGGTTATTAATTATTAGGAGTAAAATTTAGGCAATTTCTATTTACGTTGAAGGTGGCCGGGATCTTAGTCGTAAACTATTTATAGTGTGAATACCTTAATAAATGTTGTAGATGATAATATAATAAGTGTTATAGGTATTATGTACAGTGTAAGGAATCGTGTAGGCAATTTAATTTATATTAGCGTATATTATATTGATTATCTATAAAATAAACTATTATAACAATATACCTTTGTCCACTATGCTCTTGCATTTGTTACCCTCACCAACTATTGTTATGAGATTAATATATTCTCCTCACCAAAAAAATGTTGATTGTTCTTTAATTCTTTTCTATTATCATTAATAAATTTTTGTGTATCAATATTGGTTGCAATGATGACTGTGGAATGTATTACTTTTTTTTTAGTTTTTATTGGGGTTTATGTGGATTTAAATTTGTTGAATTCTCAACAATTTTTGAAAATCTGATACAAGACCGAATTATGAACTTTGTACTGAATTTTAATGTTTTACTAAACATATATTAAAACGAAAACTTGAAATAAGTAAAAATTTCACTACTAAATTACATAAAAAAAATTTTTACGTGATGTTTACAAAAACAGTATAGGTTCTCTATTGAATTTTAAAAATAGACCCCGAAATCTCATTTCAAAAGGGTGTCTAAAAATTTCAAGCACACGTATAATTTTAGATTACGCTGTCTAATAAAAATTATTTCATTGTACATTATTCCCTATTTTGTATATTTATAGAAGGAAACTACTGTAACATACGATTTTGTACGCCTTGTATTCTGTAGTAAATATTATATTGATATCTGTATCTTTGGGTTTGTCTCATTAATAAATAAACACTTTTTATATCACATACTTAGTGTAATATAATAAGTGATTATAGTTAATTTTAGTAAAATAATATCATCATATAACGTATAATATTATGATAGTAGGTATATTTTAGTTTGTTCTGTTTAGTTATTAGTTATTATATTTGTATTAGGTCAGCACAAAATATTTCAAAACATTGTTCCCCATTCAACAAATATTTAATTAGCAAATCTGAATTAATATTTACTTTTTTTAATGTAATAGATGGTCTTAAATGTACTGTAACTATACTACTCAAGGCTTTGATTTTTTTCTTTTTCAATAATTGCATTAACTTTTAAGTTTCCCATTATTTAATATAATTTTATTTGATCGAGTTTGTATTTCAATAACTTTGACTTAAAAATTTAAGAGAATATATCTAGTATATAATATACTATATTTGTGGAAGATATTAAGCATACATGACTAATATTAGTTATATCCTGTGTTCAACTATATAGATACGATATCATAATACCTATATTGTTCTTAATCTAACCATAATAGCAGTGCAATCTTAATTCAGTTACTTATATAATGCGTTTTAATAAAAACCATTTTTATTTTAGATCTGATCAGAGCGAGGAATGTATTGGTTTCACAATGACGTTTTTTTTTCTATGACAACTTTTCTACCAGGTATTTTGCTCTGATTTTCTGGTGTAGCACTTTTCCTAAAGAGAAATCTGAATGCGGTGGTACTTTAAGAAGGTTATATATGATTTTCCAAGGGGTTTTCATAATAAATAGGAAAAAACGTAGAAAAAACGTGAGAATTTAAATGTATTAAATAAAGTAAATAAATAAAAAATGTATTCATAGAAATATAATAAATAAATGAATCTACTTGGAGTATTATGATAAGTGTATTATACGACCGGTTTTGATTTAAAAATTCATCATCAGGTATATCACAGTCAAAATGTAAAATGCGACTGAATATAAAAATTAAATGAAGGGATAGGTACAAAGAAAAAAAAATTATACATATAATTGATCGTTTTACATAAAATATAGAAATAATTTATTTTAATAGGAAAGATTATATAAAATTAGTTATAATTAGACATAGATATGTTCAAAAATATAAATTATTTGGTTATTATTTATTATCTAAAATGTATTGATATAAGATATTATTTCAAATCGTAAATTTTACGACCTTTCTTAATACATATAACCGAACTCCACTCATAATCGTTGTTTGTTAGCATTAAATTAATTTTTGCGTATAGATATACATTAAATTTCCTCTCTATTTGTATAACTTCTCACCTACAATAGTGGCCCACCCATTGTGCGAAGTATGTCCGTTTGTTTTTTTTTTTTTTATAAATTATTTAGTATTGCTAGTTAAACCGGAGAACAAAAGTCATACTGTGTTGTTGGGTTCGTGGTAAACAATAATGGTGCATTTTATTTTGATGTAAAGCCAAAACCAAGCCAGATAAACTAATTAGGGACTTACATTTAAATGGATTTTCAACACATTTGTAAAAAATATAACAGATAAATAATAGCTACCTAATCAAAACTACATATTAGTACAGACATTTATAATTAAGTTATTTATAGATTTGAGACCGAAATTATTATTTTACCTATAATATTTATTTTTATTTTTTTACATTTTTTTTTATATAATGCTCTTTACTCAATGATTATACCTAATAATTTAGAAATAAAAATATAAAATCTCTGTATTTAATTATTATGAATAGATAAAATTTTACTATAAATATAATGCGGAGATGTGTTCATAGCATTAAGTTAAATTATTACTTTATAAAATTTTCAGGAAAAAGTTCAAAAATGAGTGTTTTGAAATTTAGTAAGTTTTACGACTTTATACCTGACAATTATTTGTGTACCTATTATGTTTTCGGGATATTAAATCATTTGTTTTAAATTTTAGTTGTTATTTTGACCTTTGCCAGGTTTTCTTACTGTGAAAATGAGTTAGTGTTTCCAGAAAAATTTTTGTTCGGTGCCGGCAGTAGTGCATACCAAGTGGAAGGATCATGGAATACTTCTGGTAAGTCACTACAAATGAATAATTTAAATTTATTTTTTTCAACTTTTTATTTTCATTAAATACGTGGTTTTAAAAATCTTTTAAAGTGCAGGGAAAAGAAGTGTACAGTGTATAATAATAACAATAATCAATTATAGAATGCGATTTCAGCCTGCTACATACTTATAGGTAGGTACTTTTCTTTGAACTTTAAATATTTTTATTGAAAACCAAGAATTTAATTAAAATAAAAAGATTAAAACTTAAAATTTTTAGAAGAATAAAATCTAAAAAATTGATATTTTCAAATATAAACTATTTGTAATCCTATTAAAAAAAATCGCCTGTTAACAGCAGAAGTCCGGATTTATAAGTATCAGATTCAAATTACAATTTTTTTTTTATCTTCCTTATAATATTTGTTTTATTTTAAATAATTGATCTAAACTAGTTATTATTGACCGAGTTTCATTACATTTTAGTTCATATGAATATCAGGATTCAATATTTCCTGTCAAAAAATAAAATGTACGCATACAAATGATTGAGAAAAAATAAAACAACTCTAATTAATCCAATCCCTCCCTCTCCCACTAAAATTATGAAAAAATGTTTTGTTGTTTTTTATGTATGGTTATATAGGAAAAACCGAAAGCATTTGGGACGATTTGACCCACTACAGGAAACATTTGATGATTTTGAACACATTCATTCAACCGGACCAATCGGACAACAACTGTACCGACAGCAACGACGGCGTAGCAGCGGCCGCGAGTCAAGCTGTAAATTCGTTTTTTTCTTATAAAGCACCAGCCATACCGAATAACCCAAATTCCAAGATAAAGCTCATCAAGGATATTACGAAAAAGTGGTTTAGCATGAATTTCACTCAAGCGTTACCACTCCAGATACAGGACCGACAAAACGTAATACTAGAGACACCCACATCTAGGGAGGAAACCGACGATGAACTGTTAAAAGTCAAACCAAAATTGATCAAGTTCTATAAGGGAGTGCCCATTTACGAAACGTTGCCGGACAAATTGTTCCGCCGAATTCTCAAATTGCCAAATATCAATGAAATGTCCAACGAAGTGTTGTACAGTTTGTACACTGCGGGCGGCGACCTCTCTGACCTGGACTCAGACAACGGTGACGTGGCTTGCGATTCGTATAACAAAATCGACGAAGACGTCAAAATGCTCAAAGACCTCGGGGTATGCAACGCATTATTTTATGATTCGTATTAAAACGTTGAGTTGACCTAATCAAAAAATTCATTTTTAAATCACAATTAAAAAAAAAAAAAAAACATCAAAATGCAATGTTTTAAAATATAAAAATTAATATTAAGTTTTATGATAAATTATAATAAGAAAATCATAATATATTTTTAACGACGTAAATTATAGATAAAAAAAAAAAATCGTGTTCAAATTAAACCATAACGCATTTCGTTAGTCGTTACGGTTCAATTATGTTATTTTTATTAGGTACTTATATCTTGTCTATAATACCCACTAATTTTCTATTTTTATTAGAAACCAACCGCAAACCTATACATTAATCTATGCCGTAATATCATGCGTGCAACAAACTTATTATCTCGGGCCTACAAATATATATGGGACTTTAGTATAGTTTACGAGTAATGATCGATAAAGTTTCTATTTTTTTTTTCTCAAAAATACATTAAACTGTTTGAACTTTAAAAACAACCTTCCTTATATTATTTTTTAAAAAATTATAATTAAGTTGTATTATATTATTAAAAAGGTCGTAATATATTTTAACTAATAAACTAATACCGACATTTCATTTTCCCGTTTTTTTTTTCGGTTATCTAAATTTGGTGAGAAAAATCCGGAGAGAATTAGAAAATAAGTTTATTCACTCCACTCAGAATTTATGTGTA